CGGGTATCATGGTATTCAGACCACACTCTGGAGTACTGAATCGACTGTCACGGGAATCATGGAATTCAGACCACGCCCTGGATTCCTGAATCGACTGTCACGGGTATCATGATATTCAGACCACGCTCTGGAGGACTGAATCGACTGTCACGGGTATCATGATATTCAGACGACGCTCTGGAGTACTGAATCGACCGACTGTGACGGGTATCATGGTATTCAGACCACACTCTGGAGTACTGAATCGACTGTCACTGGTATCATGGTATTCAGACCACGCTCTGGAGTACTGAATAGACTGTCACGGGTATCATGGTATTCAGACCACGCCGTAGGTTGGGGAACCAGGGATGTTACTATCAGAAAATATCAGGATTAGATAATTGCAATATTCACACTTATCGTAAACTATGATAATTGCAATATTCACACTTATCGTAAAGTATAGTAGATAACCGTTTCTAACAACCAGGAAATCAATCATTTTTCACAATTTTATCCTCATTTTATCACATAGTGGCTTTTGTTGTATTTTTCACAAAACGATCACCGTTTGCCTTTAAAGGAAAATAATGAACCAAGTTTTTTGACATAATATAAATACAGAAATAATTGAATGTTTCTTTTATCCGACGTATCAGAACTTTTACTTTCATCCTTTACAAAACCATGTCAAACTGAAGGAACGCATTCGAATTAAGAGCCCTTATGTAAATCTTTCCTAAGTTTCATCGATTTTGAGCTTAAATTACCGCTTTGTTCAAATTTGATGTGAAGCATCTGTTTACACAGCAACATTTCTCCATACTTTATGCTACCATCCCTAGTGCGATTAAATACCATGCATAAGTAAAAGGAGGATAAAACAATATTTTTCTGAAGGCTGACATCCGCTATGTAAATCTGGGTCAAATCGAAAGAATCTTAGGTTCTTAATCAATGTAATTCCTTAATTAATCTAACCTCCTCAAGGCCAGAAATGCTGCGCATAATCTTCACTAACCTGGATATTTGGCTGATCTGTGTCGTGATATTGTCAGTCAGTAGTCGATTTACTTCACAGTAAGTGTGATACTTAGAGAAGGCTTTTGAATACTTTGTCATCCTTTTGTCTAAACAGATGTTGTATGAAAAGGATTTTCGAGATTTTTCTTTAAATTGATAGAACGCTATATGCAAACAATGTATTTATACATGTTAATCTAAAGTTTCTGTATAAGTATGTTTCTAGGGACTTCGGCAACATAAAATGTCACCGAACAAGTTATACAAGCCTTACAATCATTTTACATTGCACTTTATACATGTTTACATGAATGTATGTACCACTATATATGTGGTGGATGTTATTTACACACAGATCAGTCCAGCTTACTTCTGAATCAACTGTACACAATCTAATGCATCCTAACTGGCCAGGTGCGCGTTGTGTTTGTGTTAAAGGTGTAACGTATGCGTGGAGCACCTTTTAACGGATTATGTGATGTTGTCTGATCTGCGTAAAAGAATTAGTATTTGTTAGTTACAGAATCATCATAAATACCTCGAACACTAGAAAATGATATAGAACATCTAGGAAGTATAGCATTATGATATAGGACATCTAGGAATTATAGCATTATGATATAGAACATCTAGGAATTATAGCATTATGATATAGAACATCTAGGAATTATAGCATTATGATATAAAATATCTAGGAATTATAGCACTATGGTATAGAACATCTAGGAATTATAGCATTATGATATAGAACATCTAGGAATTATAGCATTATGATATAGAACATCTAGGAATTATAGCATTATGATATAGGACATCTAGGAATTATAGCATTATGATATAGAACATCTAGGAATTATAACATTATGGAGCTTTAAGGTCACTTCAATAACCAACAGACAGCACACTGACTTGGTAGATCTCACCCGGTGAAATAGAAAGACAACATGGGCACTCGTCAAACAAAAATTCATCATTTGAGACTCCTCATTGGTGCTTATTGACAATATATAATATGTGAGCCTCCCTGTATCGACTTATCAAATGTTAGATATGTGTTTTCATATATAATTATATTACCACTTTGTACAGCGTATCATACACAAAACACATTTATATACAAAAATCAACAAAAAAGAACATCGAGATGGATGAATTTCCTAAGCGCGTCGAAGCTGACAAATACCTAACCGAAGATTGACTCTCTACAAAGGACATTTCAGTCATTTCGTTTCACCTTTCTGAACCTGAACTGAATATTGCATAAACATATGTAAATGACACATGTGTCACGATCTGCTGTTAAACATTTGTCTGTCATGGTCTTATAAACTCCATTACAAACAATATAGTACAGCACCAAACTGAAATTAATTTCATTGAAATTTGTAAACCATGACTTTCCTAATCATTTGATACTTTGTTTTAATTTACAATTGAGTTTCCCCTATATTGCTATAGCATAATACTATAAGACGGGAGTGTGAGTCAGCGCGTCTGTTGATATTTTATAGGTACTGATAAAATACCTGCCCTGTACTATATCTCCCTATTATAAAAGTGTGTTGGTTGGATACATTACTTAAACTCCATTTCAGTGATGTCAGAAATCCCGTTATCCCTCACGTATGTCAGGTTTGGCAAAGTGTCTCGTACTCGGAGAAACCACATATATTTTATGGTAATTGTTTTTAAACGAAAATATATTGCAATTTTTTGTTTAATTTGTTTTTTTCATTTTGATATTAAAGATTAGGCACCTGAACAAATACATATGAACCACGAGGCGATTAGAGCACTAGACCTATCCTATCGTCACTCACCCTCGGAGATATGAATCAAACATAGGTGCTTATCCTTCATCCATTAAACACTCATAAACTGTATTTGTTTGTTTGTTTTTCTCTATAACACACTTTTTACCACGCAGACTTGCAATAAACATTTTCGTTATCGTATATCAATAATGTAAATAGAAACCCCCCCACAAAATTGCGTCACATTTAGAAAAAATACATCACAACGTCACATAAAGATAAAAACATCACAGTGCTGTAAAAAACAAGACACAGAGTAATGCAAAAACAAAATACAAACTAAGAATACACCAAAGTGTAAGACAAAACAACAACAACATCACAACCGGATAAACATGAAACACCTCATTGTGACGAGGAAACAAAATACAGAGCAATGAGAAGATAAAGACTATTAGAAAGTCATATACCCTGTCCAAATTAAAGAAGGACATCAAAACTCACCTTTTCACGTCCACATGTTAGGCTCTTTGCACAGACGTCATGAAACATACCACCCTTTGTTTGTTCATTTATATGCACATTGAGATGATTATCTATTTGCTTAATATATAATGGTGATTGTAAGCCATTTTTGTTTCACAATTAAAACTAATACTATTATTTATATGTTGTAAAGCGCTTTAGAGTAATTTAACAAATTGCACAGGGCGCTATATAAATGTTATATATTATTATTACTATAAAAAACCGCAGCGTCAGACAAAAAATACATTATGTAAAATATAGCATAGCGTTTCATGATAATAACAATAAATGCAAAGCAACAAGCAAACATATAACGTAAATGCATCAGAAAAAGAAGACAGTATCGAGAGAGAGACCTAAGTTACGCCACATGACAAAGAAAGACATAATTTGCATTAAAAAAATGCAGGTACAACAGGTCGCAGAGTACTATATCAACCATTGTACTTAAGCATGCCAATCCCCCTTGTATAACTGATCACATATGAAGATGAAATTGTTGAAGAGCTTATTAGGTTTTATAAAAAAAATCCTTATCAAGTCCTTGAATTTCACTTACAGATTTTCCGTCCATGTGCTGTCTTTAAATAACATAACTTATTGACCGCGTCGATTATATTTATCGTCCTTAACAAATCAAGGACACTAACGATTCTCCGACATCAGCAGCGCTCCGCAATCTTTACTTACAACATGGCATACAGGGACGACTTACTACTTAGCTGTACGATAAGCGTAAAGATTTCAATTTTCAGTCCGTGGACTTTCCGTTTCTTGATAGTAACATCCCTGCTTCACAGCATACGGTTTTTACATTTTGCATTTGATTCAATATTTAAGAGCTTGCTCCGAATATTATGATATACAACTAAGAAAGAGTTTGAGAAATGCAAGATGATGGTCGTCATGCTTTTCATTTGGAATTTATTCCATTTCCCTTTATTTTTTATTTTTTATATGAAGTCGATGTCTTTGATTATGCTCACGAGTGTGTTTTGCTGTTTCGTTGTCCCTACTCGGTTCTCATTTAAGGACGTGACATTTCCGGGATTTGAACTAGATTTACATAGCTCGTGTTGTCGGGGAAAAAGTCACGATTATCCGCCCGGAACACCTGGTCTTAATCCCGTCTTACTTTTTCAAAGGTCTTTATATGTAAATAATTTAACTCACTTTGAAATCAAATTATGTTTTTGACACTTTGGCATTATCTTGTTTTTGGCCCACGTTTTTGTTTTCGGTGTTTGCGTGCCTTGATGCTGGTGAATGGGTTTTTACATTTTCGTATGATACTGTGGTGGTAAAGTCTGATGTTCAATAGGGTCGTTTTATTTTGATAAAACCTTTTGAAATATAATGACTCTGTGATAAAATCGATAGTTAGACGACACCCAGCTTACAATGTCCATTTATGTGTGTTTCGTATGATGTAGAATAGTCATACCGACCAATGAATTTATTATGGAAAGCTGTTTCCGAGAAGCTGATATTTCATAAATAAAAAATGAACATTCTAAAGAAACTTTTCCCCACCTGTATCACGTGATTATATGTACAGTGCTGTGTGGAGAAGCAAAGTAGAGGGGCGATATGGTGGGTGGTGGTTCCGTGGTAGAAACACCAATGAGCAATGAGGAGTGTCATGTTTGATAGCAGGGGCGGCCTTCTGTGTGACGGTGGTACGCAGGGTGCCGTTATCTGTACCCCATTATTTACAAACTGATATCAATGAGCATTGTTCAGGAATTTATTGCCTTTAATTAACGTCTAACATATATATAAGGCCATCAGACCGCTCTTAACTGCAGAGTATTGGCCCAATATACACAGAATCATCAAAGATACCTCTCAGAACAGGGGAGATCATCTAAAGACGTTGTGCTGTGTTTCGAATGCGCATCGGATTGTGTCGTTGTATATTTTCGTTTTCGGGACTAACATGAAGGGTTTTCAATATTTTCTTCTGACAGTGACTGTAGTTCTAGCGGATGCTGCTAATCAGGTAAGTAATTTAATCGGTACAGACCAATCATAAAAAAAATCACTTTGAGGGAAAACAATATCCTTGTTATACTGTACGTGGAGAAGACTGGAACAAAAATAAATCAAAAATGACAAAAGTCAGACAAGCACGCGTGAATTTGAATAAATACAGTTCGCCGCTTAAGATTTTTAAGGAAGATCTGAGAGAACTTGTTACGGAATATGTTTCTACGGCAATGAAGCATTTTACTTACTTCTCAAAACATCGTCACTTACATTCTTATCGAACATTTCTAAAAAAAAAAACCTTCCCTTTTTCGCTCGTATCTGTTATCTCATAGTCAAAAAGTGTGTGGGAACATTGTGTCTTCTTGTCTGTCATACAAATGTTGAATTCAATCAGGTCTTGCTTTCAGTTAAATAATCACTAGAAAAACGATGAAATAAAGCACTCATTTAAAAATTAATTTGTAGAAAGCTACACAAAGTAATAATTCTATATCACCATATGGTCTGTTTGTCCAGGAGGAAACCGTCAGTGGGACTTTATTTTGAAAGAATGAAAACTCAACTTTTGAAATATTCCGATACATATGTAGAATACAGCGAGTAGGAAAGGTTCCTATAAACCTATTACGATACAAATGATGTCTACATTAGGTCATTTATACTTAAGCTGGTATTGCATGTTAACCCTGCCTGACCTAATAGTTTTTGGTATCATCAGATCTTACCATCTCTTCGAATTTCATGTTGTTGCTGTGTTTTACTTATATTTTCACCTTGCATTGTTAATTAGCACATTTGCACTTATATTGTCGTTTTTATCACACAATCTTTCTGCGTTAAAGTCTCTCATCTTTCTCTATCTACTCATTCAATTTATCTTATAATTCATTGTAGTCTCAAATTAACACAAACTTCCCTTTCCAAAATATAGCGACGTAAACAAGTTCCTTGACACTTGTTTTCAAATTTCTATCACAATCGGGTGGTCGGGTGGTTGGGTGGTGCATTGAAGGACGCACTTGCCTTTCACCAAGGCGGTCGGGATAAGACGAGTTGAATATATTATTGTTATTATATACAAATCGGAGTTATCATATTATCACCCCTTAGGAGGCGATTTTGACTTTAACAGTATTTTGTCCATATCGACTACCATCTAATTTTGATAAACGAATAAACGAATCTACTTTTGCCGTTTTTTGTAAAACAATAACTACTTTATTCGTCCTTGTCAAACTTCATAAATAACAAATATTTCCGTCCCTAACAACAAAGGTCAGCTACAGCGCTGTATCGTAAAACAATGCCTTCCTTTGAAGTATTTATAGAAACACCAGTATTTACTCTTGACTCTTATCAAAGTGCGTCAATGTATTTGATTTCATTTAATGTAAAAATGGCTGAATCCCCATCATATTACGTGAAAGCATATCCTACTCAAAATTGACAGCACATGGTACAAGTACAACCTCAAAGTTTAAAAAAAACAACAAAGAAAACAACAAGTGCTGAGGACACATTAAAGGAACGATATGATGAACTCCACAAAAATATGGGTGTGAATATAAATATTCCGGAAGCGTGAGTGTTTTAGGGTGTTTTAAAACAAACCATTTTCCTCGCCTCTACTATAAGAAAAAACAGTTTCCGTTTTCCTCGCCTCTACTATAAGAAAAAACAGTTACCATTTTCCTTTCAAAGCAACATTCAAGTGAGCACAAACGACTTGAGATAGTTTGTTATTTTGAATGAACGATATGAATATTCACCAGTTAATACATTACATTTACTAACTATAAAACAGATAACACAGATTTAGATCTTTGTCGACAGATACAATTATTACAATTACTACAGTGAAACCGGATGGTCAAAAAAGGTGAATACTTCCTAAACCACAAATGGCACCCGCTATAATGTTTCCTGTTTAGATCAGGAAAGCGTGTAGGACATGTACTACACAGATGATACAGAGGGGGCTGACCAGGGCATGACGGGGAACGTAATGTTCTTAAACGTTGATTAACCCCTTCGTGCAGAATACCAAAGCGATGTAGTTTATCCGTCCTCTCCATAAAAATCATTTTTCCAGAAATTCATAGCATTGTATGATAAAAACGCTGTCTGCAGTGGGTATGAAAATTCAGATCTAAAGTGCTCCGAAACATATCTAGAAATACACTAGCTATGAAAAGCTTAAACACATTTTATAACGTTACAAATTTTGCATCTTTGGGCTACAACTGAAAATTAGTTTCTACACCCGTTCGTCAATCAAAGTGCACCTGAACTAATTACTTGAAGAGTTGACAACGTTGTGACGTGAAATGATCACTAAACATACAATAAAGGAAGAACTTCTATCGAAGTTGATGTATGTCGATGGAAACAGCTGACACACTAAACATTTACTTCGCCATATATCCATGTCGTCTGTTGCGGATTAATCCAAGGTACTATATGTCCAAAAACAAATCATAGTTATTACTTTATGTCAGCTGTGCCAGAATCAATTCCTGCAACAAGCTTACAATCAGAATATTAGGACAGATAGTCCAACAGCAGGTAACATCTTCCCCATTCCCTTGTGACGTTAAGTAATTATTAGGAACTTTTCTATTTTGCTATTCTGGGCAAAAATCTGCTACGAAATTCGTCCTTATCGAACAGTGAACTTTTCGGTTGGCGATTGCAAACAAGTATTTTATTGCGTTCAACCAATGAAAATAAAATCATTGCACTTTTACAATCTTTTATTACTACAGTGGTAAAACAAACGTAATCACTGTATATATGATATCGAGCTCAATGCTTTAAATTAGTCAGCAGTCACAACGATGTTATAATTTGTAATAATATAGTGTCATGAGGTCACACTTAAGGTGTTGAGTAAAAGGAAAGTATCCTGTTATCGTATATTGATTTATATCTCCCATCAGGATAATTCCCCTTGAAGATAAACAATAATATCAATATTATTAGCGAGTCTGTTCTAATAACTTCAATAATGAGTCTGTTATTGGTGGTAACATATTTAGATTGATTTAATACAATCTCACTCCAGAACAAGGCTATGGTTAGTGATTATATTGTGTTTAGCGTAAATCAACAAACCACCACTTAAAACAAGTTTGGTGACAGCCAACCTCGGAGGTGATGGTTCACCAGCAGAGTTTAAAAACTACAACATCAGCTATAACAGACTGTATAAAACTGGTATTTTGTGTAAACCGTGCCAAAATTAATTCCAGCTACAATTTTACAGATTTTGCAGGCTTTAGGTAAAACAGACAATTTCTTCTTTATTAAATGTTATTTCAAGTTACAATCTCGGGTATTAATAGTCCACCAGTTAAGTCAACATTTAATGACGTAAACTTTTCAATACAAATACACTTATTTTAGCAGTTTAAGCAAACAAAGAGTATACTGGTTTAGTGACCAGGGTGACCAGGGTGACCATCCCTACCCTTGATGTTCCCGGAAGACTTGCTGGCGTGAAAGAGTTCAAACTCTCTTGTGTCTTACATGTCTGTCCATATATCACAGTCTCTTAATTCAGATTAAATGAGAACACATCAAAAGCCAGCGTCAGTCAATAAGTGAAAGCCAGGTTTACTTACACTGGCTAAGTCAACACTGACTCGGCTGTGGTGACGAGAGGCCGACAGGTATGTGGCTATCTACCTAATTAGCATGTCCCCATGAGGGCTCTGGGCCGGTCCCGGGTGACAGTGGTGTAGATAAAGGGACGGACGGGACACCATATGACCCACTCCTATTCACTTGTCAAAAATGATTTGTTTACGACAAGTGAATATTCCAATTTTACAGCACATCACAGAGATTTTAAGTTTAAAAAAGGAATCATATATTTTTCCTCTAATATTCATCGATTTACAGTACTGGTTAGTCTGACGCTAACTTACACTTTTCAAAAGTATGCAGTTACACTAGACATTCTGTAAGTTCGTTTAATATTTTCATCCTTATATTCTTATTTCAGAAATGGTGATTGCTTTAAGTGTATGACATTCCAAACGTTGGGTTCCATGACTTACTTTAACATAACGGTCTCCTATATAGCAAACATTAAGCATGTCTTAATGTAATTGTTGTTGTTATACAACACGGGATACTGACATAGTGGTCACGTGATACTAATTAATGTTCGTCACATTCTGGTAACGCTGACAAACTGGTCACGTGATGCTTGGTATTTTAAGTCACATTCTGGTTGCGCTATTATGTTTGTTAAATATAGTTGAGTAATGTTAGTTATATTCTGGCAATGCTGTCGTAATATTTGGAAAAATGTGAAATGTTTATCAAATACATTGTATAGAGTGTATAAAATACAGACAGTTAAATAGCAGAGTAATGTCCCAATTACTAATATCAGTTATAAACGTTTTTAAAGACAGTCTCAAAAGTTGTACATATACATTATCATAACAGAACAAATGATGAAGAGTTAATCAAAACGATATATTCTGCAAATATAGACTTTACAAATATAAAATTGGAATCAAAGTCAATGTCAAATTGAGTGCTTAAATATGGGAAATTATGAACGAAAGTGTTACAGATGCAAGAAGAATAAAAAAATCACTTTAAATATTTGAAGTGGAAAGCTTATAAGACAATGAAATACCACACAACAATGCCAATGGAAATGTCTATACCACCTGTGTACAGGGATCCATAACAATTGACAAATCAGTTTGTCATTATTTCTAATAAGATGTCAAAAGAATCCCGTCTTTTCTCGGATGCAGTTGATGAAAGGGTTCGTCTTGCCGTTTCGCCTAAGCCTGGAACAACCTGCTGGAATTGAAGCCAACTATAAATGTATATAAATTGTTTTTAAACAACTTCATTAATATACAACTTCATTAATAGGAACAGTTTCTGCGGAGTGAGAAATATTTCTCGAAACATGGTTAAACCACTTTAAGCAATCACGTAGCATCAGATGTGTTATTCAGGATGTAAGCAAAATATTGAAAGCATGTCAAACTGAAATATTTCTCAACGTACGTGCCACAGACGAGGTTGTTATACATATCCAAGGAGTAGTCAGGCTGCATGTCTCTGGCTACTTGTCAGTCGTGTATGGAGGAAGATCCAACCACACTGTTTAAAGCCTATTGCAGGTTTTAGATGACGAAAGATATTAATACCTAACAGTTATAAAAATATAGATTTCCATGTACATAATAAATATCGATTTACAATTGTTTATCATGATGTTTGCTTAATATCTATAAAGACATAACAAAGATGATATATTTATCTAAACAAACGTTATGACATCATGACAAATCATCAGAAACAATTCTCTATAAATCTTACCCTAGCACCGTATTGAATACGAAAACTGAAGTTCTTATAGTTCTTAAAACTGAACATAATAGTAATGCAACGTATTGAGCTTTATATGAAACGTTTACGCCCCTTGATTCACATCCGATTGTTTTGTTATGTTTTACGGCATTATTTCTTTGTGGATATTTTTGACATCATAACAATAGAAAAAAATACCACAAGCTGCAGATCGAAAAGGGTTACGATTCCTGAGCAGAGGATTTGATGATGATGGAAACTGAAATATCATAATTGTGAAACAATTCATGCATATATGAATACAATGGTTTAATAAAAATGGTTAACAGAAATAAGGAACTCGAAACGTATTTTACATACATTCCAGCCCATTAAATATGTAACAATTATTTTCGATTCATTATTTGACTATATTCATTGGAAGACATGGAAACAGTTATGACAACACTAATATTGAAAAGACCATACAGGTTGGTTTCTGTGTCACTTAAAATGTCAGTAGAATATCTGAACGCGATGTAGCAGTTTATCTGGACGCGATCATTGACGCAAGATCTGTACCTTCAACCGAGGCCGGACGTTCTTCATCTCTGTACTATGGTCGTACATGAGTGTCCAACTCACTCTCATCAGAGTGAAGCATAAGCATTTCAAAATTCTTTACAAAGATCACATATCGTGGCATTATAGTGAACTCACTAAGCATCAATTGTCGAAATAATCATATTTATCTGTTACCATAACATTAGCAAAGTTACAATTCCCGTAAAACTTGGGACACTGACCGCACCAAGATCTATAAAGCTACTACTGATGTTTATGAAACTGATTTCCTATTATTTTTTGTTTCATAGTTTCACGACGGCCTTTCAGAAGATCACCTGACACATTACTTCGGCACAAAGGCAAAACAAAAAGGTAAGGGTAGTGTGTTTGTTAATATAAGTAGATCAGAAACTGTTTGATAAAGAAATTTCCTTTCCTTCCTTTCGTAAAAACTAGCCCCATTTTCAACTAGGTCTAAAACCAAACGTCACCTTCTTCCAGACTCCGTTTGGTATCAAACACTTTCTTCCCTTTATAGTACGTTTGACGCATACATCCCTCTCCTTCCATTTACTACAGAAAATGTGTCACCTTCAGGGCCATGTTCGTCACAGAACACTTCTCATTTTATATCAATTTTCCTTAAAAAAAACCAAGACAACAAAACATCTCATGTCCAGTCCCTTCCTCAAACAAACCATTTTTGTAAAGCAATTCATTCCCATTCATGAGAACCTTTAATTCGGAGGTGCCGACCTTCTAGCAAAACCATCTATGTTATCGAAAACAGACTTGTCACCTTTAGGCTCATTTGAAGTTCTGTCACCAAGCGTTAATTCTTTCAAGGACGTCAAGGTTAACCTGAACAACTTTCTTATTTTACAAACATAGATTTTAAGTTTTTGATTACGTGTGTTAGTATTGATACAAACAGGTAAACTTGTTGTAACACTGTGTAATCGCCTTTTCAGTGCCAGACTATGAGATTACCAGTCCGACAGATGTGACGTCACAAAGTGTTCCGTCGTCCGGGCCACAGTATACCATTAAAGCATTCAACAACAGCTACCACATAGTTCTACAGAGGAACGAGCACCTTATAGCGCCAGGTAACCAATGTAGATATGATGTCATATAGCGTCAGGCAACTAATGTCGACATGACCTCTAATAGCGATAGGTAACGATGGTTTTTATGAATATCGTATTAGGCCAGAAAAAACGATGGAAAGCGAACTTGAACCTGATATACCGCAAGGTAACCTTTGTTAACGTGATTCTTCAATAGGTCCAGGTATTTATACCAAAACCTTCAATGTGCTATTGTGTGAACTAGTTGGTGTACTTTGTGATATTGTGACGATACTTTCAGGGTGTTTCCAGGGGTAAATAAATTGATTTGTCTATTGCATTAGGGTTTGCAAAACGGACGAGTGCAACTATACGGGGTCTGTGATAGGTCAGACCACATTTCCCAGGCCGGGACCAGGTGGTCGTTTATGCACCTACTGTTTGCAGAAAGTCGTCCATACCTAGATAAGACAATGTAGTCGTTTATACACCTGCTGTAAAGTCGTCCATACCTAGATAAGTCAATGTTGTCGTTAACAAAAAGGCGTCCATACCTAGATAAGTCAATGTAGTCGTTTATACACCTGCTGTAAAGTCAGCCATACCTAGATAAGTCAATGTAGTCGTTAACAAAAAGTCGTCCATACCTAGATAAGACAATGTTGTCGTTTACACACCTGCTGTAAAGTCGTCCATACCTAGATAAGTCAATGTAGTCGTTTATACACCTGCTGTAAAGTCGTCCATACCTAGATAAGTCAATGTAGTCGTTTATACACCTGCTGTAAAGTCGTCCATACCTAGATAAGTCAATGTAGTCGTTTATACACCTGCTGTAAAGTCGTCCATACCTAGATAAGTCAATGTAGTCGTTTATACACCTGCTGTAAAGTCGTCCATACCTAGATAAGTCAATGTAGTCGTTTATACACCTGCTGTAAAGTCGTCCATACCTAGATAAGTCAATGTAGTCGTTTATACACCTGCTGTAAAGTCGTCCATACCTAGATAAGTCAATGTAGTCGTTTATACACCTGCTGTAAAGTCGTCCATACCTAGATAAGTCAATGTAGTCGTTTATACACCTGCTGTAAAGTCGTCCATACCTAGATAAGTCAATGTAGTCGTTTATACACCTGCTGTAAAGTCGTCCATACCTAGATAAGTCAATGTAGTCGTTTATACACCTGCTGTAAAGTCGTCCATACCTAGATAAGTCAATGTAGTCGTTTATACACCTGCTGTAAAGTCGTCCATACCTAGATAAGTCAATGTAGTCGTTTATACACCTGCTGTAAAGTCGTCCATACCTAGATAAGTCAATGTAGTCGTTTATACACCTGCTGTAAAGTCGTCCATACCTAGATAAGTCAATGTAGTCGTTTATACACCTGCTGTAAAGTCGTCCATACCTAGATAAGTCAATGTAGTCGTTTATACACCTGCTGTAAAGTCGTCCATACCTAGATAAGTCAATGTAGTCGTTTATACACCTGCTGTAAAGTCGTCCATACCTAGATAAGTCAATGTAGTCGTTTATACACCTGCTGTAAAGTCGTCCATACCTAGATAAGTCAATGTAGTCGTTTATACACCTGCTGTAAAGTCGTCCATACCTAGATAAGTCAATGTAGTCGTTTATACACCTGCTGTAAAGTCGTCCATACCTAGATAAGTCAATGTAGTCGTTTATACACCTGCTGTAAAGTCGTCCATACCTAGATAAGTCAATGTAGTCGTTTATACACCTGCTGTAAAGTCGTCCATACCTAGATAAGTCAATGTAGTCGTTTATACACCTGCTGTAAAGTCGTCCATACCTAGATAAGTCAATGTAGTCGTTTATACACCTGCTGTAAAGTCGTCCATACCTAGATAAGTCAATGTAGTCGTTTATACACCTGCTGTAAAGTCGTCCATACCTAGATAAGTCAATGTAGTCGTTTATACACCTGCTGTAAAGTCGTCCATACCTAGATAAGTCAATGTAGTCGTTTATACACCTGCTGTAAAGTCGTCCATACCTAGATAAGTCAATGTAGTCGTTTATACACCTGCTGTAAAGTCGTCCATACCTAGATAAGTCAATGTAGTCGTTTATACACCTGCTGTAAAGTCGTCCATACCTAGATAAGTCAATGTAGTCGTTTATACACCTGCTGTAAAGTCGTCCATACCTAGATAAGTCAATGTAGTCGTTTATACACCTGCTGTAAAGTCGTCCATACCTAGATAAGTCAATGTAGTCGTTTATACACCTGCTGTAAAGTCGTCCATACCTAGATAAGTCAATGTAGTCGTTTATACACCTGCTGTAAAGTCGTCCATACCTAGATAAGTCAATGTAGTCGTTTATACACCTGCTGTAAAGTCGTCCATACCTAGATAAGTCAATGTAGTCGTTTATACACCTGCTGTAAAGTCGTCCATACCTAGATAAGTCAATGTAGTCGTTTATACACCTGCTGTAAAGTCGTCCATACCTAGATAAGTCAATGTAGTCGTTTATACACCTGCTGTAAAGTCGTCCATACCTAGATAAGTCAATGTAGTCGTTTATACACCTGCTGTAAAGTCGTCCATACCTAGATAAGTCAATGTAGTCGTTTATACACCTGCTGTAAAGTCGTCCATACCTAGATAAGTCAATGTAGTCGTTTATACACCTGCTGTAAAGTCGTCCATACCTAGATAAGTCAATGTAGTCGTTTATACACCTGCTGTAAAGTCGTCCATACCTAGATAAGTCAATGTAGTCGTTTATACACCTGCTGTAAAGTCGTCCATACCTAGATAAGTCAATGTAGTCGTTTATACACCTGCTGTAAAGTCGTCCATACCTAGATAAGTCAATGTAGTCGTTTATACACCTGCTGTAAAGTCGTCCATACCTAGATAAGTCAATGTAGTCGTTTATACACCTGCTGTAAAGTCGTCCATACCTAGATAAGTCAATGTAGTCGTTTATACACCTGCTGTAAAGTCGTCCATACCTAGATAAGTCAATGTAGTCGTTTATACACCTGCTGTAAAGTCGTCCATACCTAGATAAGTCAATGTAGTCGTTTATACACCTGCTGTAAAGTCGTCCATACCTAGATAAGTCAATGTAGTCGTTTATACACCTGCTGTAAAGTCGTCCATACCTAGATAAGTCAATGTAGTCGTTTATACACCTGCTGTAAAGTCGTCCATACCTAGATAAGTCAATGTAGTCGTTTATACACCTGCTGTAAAGTCGTCCATACCTAGATAAGTCAATGTAGTCGTTTATACACCTGCTGTAAAGTCGTCCATACCTAGATAAGTCAATGTAGTCGTTTATACACCTGCTGTAAAGTCGTCCATACCTAGATAAGTCAATGTAGTCGTTTATACACCTGCTGTAAAGTCGTCCATACCTAGATAAGTCAATGTAGTCGTTTATACACCTGCTGTAAAGTCGTCCATACCTAGATAAGTCAATGTAGTCGTTTATACACCTGCTGTAAAGTCGTCCATACCTAGATAAGTCAATGTAGTCGTTTATACACCTGCTGTAAAGTCGTCCATACCTAGATAAGTCAATGTAGTCGTTTATACACCTGCTGTAAAGTCGTCCATACCTAGATAAGTCAATGTAGTCGTTTATACACCTGCTGTAAAGTCGTCCATACCTAGATAAGTCAATGTAGTCGTTTATACACCTGCTGTAAAGTCGTCCATACCTAGATAAGTCAATGTAGTCGTTTATACACCTGCTGTAAAGTCGTCCATACCTAGATAAGTCAATGTAGTCGTTTATACACCTGCTGTAAAGTCGTCCATACCTAGATAAGTCAATGTAGTCGTTTATACACCTGCTGTAAAGTCGTCCATACCTAGATAAGTCAATGTAGTCGTTTATACACCTGCTGTAAAGTCGTCCATACCTAGATAAGTCAATGTAGTCGTTTATACACCTGCTGTAAAGTCGTCCATACCTAGATAAGTCAATGTAGTCGTTTATACACCTGCTGTAAAGTCGTCCATACCTAGATAAGTCAATGTAGTCGTTTATACACCTGCTGTAAAGTCGTCCATACCTAGATAAGTCAATGTAGTCGTTTATACACCTGCTGTAAAGTCGTCCATACCTAGATAAGTCAATGTAGTCGTTTATACACCTGCTGTAAAGTCGTCCATACCTAGATAAGTCAATGTAGTCGTTTATACACCTGCTGTAAAGTCGTCCATACCTAGATAAGTCAATGTAGTCGTTTATACACCTGCTGTAAAGTCGTCCATACCTAGATAAGTCAATGTAGTCGTTTATACACCTGCTGTAAAGTCGTCCATACCTAGATAAGTCAATGTAGTCGTTTATACACCTGCTGTAAAGTCGTCCATACCTAGATAAGTCAATGTAGTCGTTTATACACCTGCTGTAAAGTCGTCCATACCTAGATAAGTCAATGTAGTCGTTTATACACCTGCTGTAAAGTCGTCCATACCTAGATAAGTCAATGTAGTCGTTTATACACCTGCTGTAAAGTCGTCCATACCTAGATAAGTCAATGTAGTCGTTTATACACCTGCTGTAAAGTCGTCCATACCTAGATAAGTCAATGTAGTCGTTTATACACCTGCTGTAAAGTCGTCCATACCTAGATAAGTCAATGTAGTCGTTTATACACCTGCTGTAAAGTCGTCCATACCTAGATAAGTCAATGTAGTCGTTTATACACCTGCTGTAAAGTCGTCCATACCTAGATAAGTCAATGTAGTCGTTTATACACCTGCTGTAAAGTCGTCCATACCTAGATAAGTCAATGTAGTCGTTTATACACCTGCTGTAAAGTCGTCCATACCTAGATAAGTCAATGTAGTCGTTTATACACCTGCTGTAAAGTCGTCCATACCTAGATAAGTCAATGTAGTCGTTTATACACCTGCTGTAAAGTCGTCCATACCTAGATAAGTCAATGTAGTCGTTTATACACCTGCTGTAAAGTCGTCCATACCTAGATAAGTCAATGTAGTCGTTTATACACCTGCTGTAAAGTCGTCCATACCTAGATAAGTCAATGTAGTCGTTTATACACCTGCTGTAAAGTCGTCCATACCTAGATAAGTCAATGTAGTCGTTTATACACCTGCTGTAAAGTCGTCCATACCTAGATAAGTCAATGTAGTCGTTTATACACCTGCTGTAAAGTCGTCCATACCTAGATAAGTCAATGTAGTCGTTTATACACCTGCTGTAAAGTCGTCCATACCTAGATAAGTCAATGTAGTCGTTTATACACCTGCTGTAAAGTCGTCCATACCTAGATAAGTCAATGTAGTCGTTTATACACCTGCTGTAAAGTCGTCCATACCTAGATAAGTCAATGTAGTCGTTTATACACCTGCTGTAAAGTCGTCCATACCTAGATAAGTCAATGTAGTCGTTTATACACCTGCTGTAAAGTCGTCCATACCTAGATAAGTCAATGTAGTCGTTTATACACCTGCTGTAAAGTCGTCCATACCTAGATAAGTCAATGTAGTCGTTTATACACCTGCTGTAAAGTCGTCCATACCTAGATAAGTCAATGTAGTCGTTTATACACCTGCTGTAAAGTCGTCCATACCTAGATAAGTCAATGTAGTCGTTTATACACCTGCTGTAAAGTCGTCCATACCTAGATAAGTCAATGTAGTCGTTTATACACCTGCTGTAAAGTCGTCCATACCTAGATAAGTCAATGTAGTCGTTTATACACCTGCTGTAAAGTCGTCCATACCTAGATAAGTCAATGTAGTCGTTTATACACCTGCTGTAAAGTCGTCCATACCTAGATAAGTCAATGTAGTCGTTTATACACCTGCTGTAAAGTCGTCCATACCTAGATAAGTCAATGTAGTCGTTAACCAAATCATGCATAGGGGTCCACCTCACTAGTTTCCGCCCAGACTTACATATTTGGGTATTGTCAGAATGTCATAAAAGAGTATGAATTAAATGTCGGTCATATTTCTGAGAGATGATTCGGTCTGGTCCATAATTTACTCTAAACTGAACAAGGTGTATGTGAGGACATTTTGCAAATGATACCACTTGATAAATACGAATCATTGCCCTATGGCCGTCTTGCTCTTATATTTTGTGTGCGTTATAATAGTTTCTTCCGGTTTGTCGACAGGTTGTGTAGTCCTGACGAAACAGAGGAATGGTACTGGTGAGATCACATCTTGTCACCAGGGAGACCATCATTGTTATTACCATGGTCACGTGGCCAACCAGAACAACTCATCTGTGGCTGTCAGCACATGTACAGGGGTGGTAAGTTGTATGTCAGTACATGTACAGGAGTGGTAAGTTGTATGTCAGTAAATATACAGGGGTGGTAAGTTGTATGTCTGTACATAGCCAGGGGTGGTAAGTTGTATGTCAGTAAATATACAGAGGTGGCAAGTTGTATGTCAGTAAATATACAGGGGTGGTAAGTTGTATGTCAGTACATGTACAGGGGTGGTAAGTTGTATGTCAGTATATATACAGGGGTGGTGAGTTGTATGTCAGTACCTATACAGGGGTGGTAAGTTGTATGTCTGTACATATACAGGGGTGGTAAGTTGTATGTCAGTACATGTACAGGTGTGGTAAGTTGTATGTCAGTATATATACAGGGGTGGTGAGTTGTATGTCAGTACCTATACAGGGGTGGTAAGTTGTATGTCTGTACATAACCAGGGGTGGTAAGTTGTATGTCAGTAAATATACAGAGGTGGTAAGTTGTATGTCAGTACATATACAGGGGTGGTAAGTTGTAGGTCAGTACATGTACAGGGGTGGTAAGTTGTATTTCAGTTCATATACAGGGGTGGTAAGTTGTATGTCTGTGCATAACCAGGGGTGGTAAGTTGTATATCAGTACATCTACAGGGGTGGTAAGTTGTATGTCTGTGCATATACAGGGGTGGTAAGTTGTAGGTCCGTACATATACAGGGGTTGTAAGTTGTATGTCAGTAAATATACAGGGGTGGTAAATTGTATGTCAGTACATAGTCAGGGGTGGTAAGTTGTATGTCAGTACATATACAGGGGTGGTAAATTGTATGTCAGTACATATACAGTGGTGGTAAGTTGTATGTCATTACATATACAGGGGTGGTAAGTTGTATGTCAGTAAATATACAGAGGTGGTAAGTTGTATGTCAGTAAATATACAGGGGTGGTAAGTTGTATGTCATTACATATACAGGGGTGGTAAGTTGTATTTCAGTTCATATACAGGGGTGGTAAGTTGTATGTCAGTAAATATACAGGGGTGGTAAGTTGTATGTCAGGACATATACGGGGGTGGTAAGTTGTATTTCAGTAAATATACAGGGGTGGTAAGTTGTATGTCTGTACACATACAGGGGTGGTAAGTTGTATTTCAGTACATATACAGGGGTGGTAAGTTGTATGTCAGTACATGTACAGGGGTGGTAAGTTGTATTTCAGTACATATACAGGGGTGGTAAGTTGTATGTCTGTACATGTACAGGGGTGGTAAGTTGTATGTCAGTACATATACAGGCGTGGTAAGTTGTATGTCAGTACATATACAGGGCTGGTAAGTTGTATGTCAGTAAATATACAGGGGTGGTAAGTTGTATGTCAGGACAAATACAGGGGTGGTAAGTTGTATTTCAGTAAATATACAGGGGTGGTAAGTTGTATGTCTGTACATATACAGAGGTGGTAAGTTGTATGTCAGTACATATACAGGGCTGGTAAGTTGTATGTCAGTAAATATACAGGGGTGGTAATTTGTATGTCAGTTCATATACAGGGGTGGTAAGTTGTATGTCAGGACATATACAGGGGTGGTAAGTTGTATTTCAGTAAATATACAGGGGTGGTAAGTTGTATGTCATTACATATACAGGGGTGGTAAGTTGTATTTCAGTACATATACAGGGGTGGTAAGTTGTATGTCTGTACACATACAGGGGTGGTAAGTTGTATTTCAGTACCTATACAGGGGTTGTAAGTTGTATTTCAGTACATATACAGGGGTGGTAAGTTGTATGTCATTACATATACAGGGGTGGTAAGTTGTATTTCAGTACATGTACAGGGGTGGTAAGTTGTATGTCAGTACATATACAGGGATTGTAAGTTGTATGTCAGTACATATACAGGGGTGGTAAGTTGTATTTCAGTACATATACAGGGGTGGTAAGTTGTATGTCATTACATACGCCGGAGTGGTAAGTTGTTTATCACTGCATACGCTGGAGTGGTAAGTTGTTTATCAATACATACGCCGGAGTGGTAAGTTTTATATCAATACATACGCCGGAGTGGTAGGTTTTATATCAATACATACGCCGGAGTGGTAAGTTGTTTATCATTACATACGCCGGAGTGGTAAGTTGTTTATCATTACATACGCTGGAGTGGTAAGTTGTAGGCAATTGTCGAGATATAACACGTTGTATCTGTGAACACTTCAGCACGGACTGATACAGATGCCTGACCACGACCTTGTGATCCAGCCCGTCAGACAGGAACATGTTGGGCGCGTTCGGCGGAGTGAAAACGCGGGGCTACCTCACCTGGTCTATAGAAGACGACGACGATCTTCTTCCAACACGTGTGGAACATCAGGTACACTGTAGTTAGTTTGAGGAAATATTATTGTTGTATTAAAAAAGTCTTAACACAGAAACACGTGAAAATATGCCAAATAATCAAGTAACATGATTAACCGACGATCGATTATAATCTTGTTTAATTTTGATGCCAAACACAGAAGCTCCATTTCAACCGGTCACTGCCAGGAGGAGGAAGCGAACGGCTGACAAGCCTCACTACATGGAACTCCGCATCGTCATGGCACCAGACGCCACCAAGTACCACGGCGGCGATGCCCGCCGATATGCTCTTACCTCGGTCAACATCGTAAGTCATACCTAACTACATAAAGTATCTTCTTACACTCTAGTTACGATATTTGTTTACAATTTAAACCACTAAATAATAACATCACAACCACATATCTGACGAGCCACACCTTTTTTTCTAGAAATATAGAACACGACATGACAAACATGCAACAAGTAAGCAAAATGATACCGAAGTGTCAATAAAACCGCCATTCGAACTCAAAATCGGTAAAACTAAGGCAAAAAATGTACGAAGAAAGTATTTATACGAAGAACGTTGAAAAAGTACAAGGAGAATAAAACCGGGTCTTCCAGAAGAGTAAGCGTTCTCTGCTTCATCGAAACACTCGAATATCAATCCATGTAAACCCAAACAAATATCACGTCCTCGTAGCGAAAACCCATGTATTGAAAACGAAACAAGGATATACACTATTGAGCATAATACAAAAGAGTGATCTTATTTAAGGACACCATATCGTCAATATATTTGAATGGGAAATGGAAGGACTTGTCTAGGTATTTGCTATAATTCCTGATAAGCTCTTCAATAAATTCAGCCTAATGTGAAAGCAATAACAAGTTGTGTTAAAGAGGGGCACATTTTGTTCCCACAACTTGTCACCGTATTGAGCAAAGAATTATTGTCAACGAGGAACTCAGTCATTCTCATAATTTCACCCTCGATATATTTTATTTTGCCCTCTTGTGCTTTTCACAAAGTATGGTCTAAGAAAGTTTACAATCCTATATTTATATCGCCGTTTTATCTTATCCAGATAAGAGTTGGAATGGTTCCTACAATAGAAGTATGGTAGTGTAAAGAGCGGAAAGTAAAAACGACTTTGATAGAAGAAACATTTTGGAGGAGAAAACGTTCAAGATTGATCAAAAGATCTTTTGAATTCTTAAAAATGCACATTCCATTTATCCCAATCCTGATGCATACAGCGTTACATAAGGACTGTGACTGTGATTTAACACTACTAAGTATGGTAGTAAGATATTTGGATAATGGTGTCGGTGGTGCAACTAGCAGAGCCAACAAATATAAAAATATGGTAGTTTATAAAGTTTCCGTATTCTTATCTTTAATGGGTATTCGGATATATTGTTATTTCCTTTTTCAAATACTTGGAAAAAGAATAGGTAGTTTTTTCTTGATTAAGGACATTCCAATATGGCTGCCACACCAAACTGTATATGCATTCCGTTAGCATTAAACAATCCCTGTCACAAAAAAATCCTCCTCACATATTTCTCAAACCTAATTGAGGTACATGCCCACTAGATTTCAGAAAAAATAATCAATAACTAATGAAAAAACTCACTTTTTATGTGTTCATTTTCCAAGCTGAATATAAGTCACAATTCAGGAAAAAAACCCATTTAAACTTGTAAATATCACAAGGTTGGATGTCCATTGAGATGCATTTGTCAAGAAAAATGTAAGAAAATTTGTCAAATCTCCAGAATAAGGCATATATTTCTCCTGAATAAATCACAACTGAGCACAAAGCGAACAAGGCTGAGTAAGGTTGGAAAAAAGCATGCAAAATTCACTACAGGTTCTCACTCAGGTTATATGGATTGACTTGTATCAAAAGTCTTGTAAGCTTGATGAATTATTGTAAAATATCCAATCAAAATAAGTGTCATCATTCTCGAGATTTGAACCATTTTCTTACACTTTTCTCGACCAATAGATCTAGTTAAAACTGATGCAATGTTAAATATTTAGAACTTAAGATTTTTGCACTTTTGTTTTTTTCGACAAAAAATACTGGGAAAAAAACACTATAAATCGTCTCCAAAATCAATATTTTCATTTTTCCCCGGAAATATTGCATTCAGTGGTTTTCAATTGTTGAATTGTTCAAAAATATACCATTTAATTGCAAATTTTATGCTTCAGTGTGCCTGTTCAAGTACTTCGTTTGAAATGAGTGGTGGTAGCCATTTTGTCATTGGGAAGTACCTTAAGGTGGCTCCACACTTTCGCAATTAACCAGCAATATTCGTTGAAACTTTCATATAATGGTTATGCAACTATGTAGAGTTAATTTTATGAAAATCTAAACATTCCGATAGTTTGGGGAATTTTTTGGAAAAAATACCAAAAAATTGAATTTTCGCCACTTTTAATATTTTCCGTTTTTTTTTGTGTGTGGCATTATTCGGAACAATAAAAACAATAAAAAAATGAAAAGAAGCATTTATAATTAATCCTACAAATATTTTATTTATCGCAAAATATGTAACACATGTTACACAAAGTGTTTTTTATTGAATTTGAACGGATAAAAGTGATTATCTACAAGCTAAAAGCAAACAGGACACACAGATCTATACATATAGAGTGGGAAATTGAACAAAATATACACAATGGCTTTATAATTAATTTATTTTACATTTTACAATCACTTTGATCCGGGTGAGAGTTATCTTCCTTGAAAAAAATCGGAACTTTTTGCAGAGGGATGACATTTACACAATGACAGTTGTCTCTGTTTACATATAACAAATGATGGAAATAAATCAAAAATATGATATCAAAATTANTGTATATAACTACCATTGCTGATAACTCACTGTATATAACTACCATTGCTGATAACTCACTGTATATAACTTCCTTCAGGCAGCTCAGCGGTTTATGGACCCCACACTGGGACACGAGATACGGACAGCTGTAGTTCAGGTGTTACTGCTACAAGATGACCAGCCTGGACTCTCACTTCTGACCGACTCAGAACAGCTCTTATACAATTTCTGTTTTTGGCACGAAAAGCGTCAGCCTTCCTTAGAGTCCGACGATCGATATGCTGACGGAGCACTGCTGATCACCAAGTAAGTATGAACACAAGGAATTGTTTTTGATGTATATGAGACATGAATGTGTATTAAGTGTAAAACACACGTAAATGACCAGTGTTGCGTTCTTGATACACGGCTGCTACCATCTCACTGCGTAACGCTGTGCCTCCGAGTGTCAGTTCGTCTGTATTGCTCTATAATACCTAGCAAGAATAGTCAGGTAGATACGTTTACCGTTTTAGTCCCCAATTAGATGGTAATACACCAAAAGTATAAAAACAAGTTTGAGGATATTTATATAATACCAAACTGATACATCGTATTCCATTGAGGATATTTATATAATACCAAACTGACACATCGTATTCCAAAGTGTAATATAAATGTGATGCCTTCAGGATTGACCTTGAGTACAAGGGAAACCCCGAGAATTTGGGACTTGGACACATCGGCGGGATGTGTAGGAGGAACTTCAGGTGTTCTGTTAATGAAGACAATGGACTTGATCTTGGACTGACCATTGCCCACGAAACTGGGCACATGTAAGTTAGCCTGACATTGTTTCTGTAAGAGTAATATGTACAATGTAAGCTTACCCTACATATAATCACGGATATCCCGTGTCAGTTGACGATTAGTATACATGTATGCTCAATAAATGATATCTTGTAATGGATTATATGGTTAATGGTGAATTGTTCTTTTATGTCTATTAAAGACACATTTAAGCCTATATATCATACAAAAGCTCAGCAAAGACTCATATACAGTAATTAGTCAGTACCTCTTCACTTCTACAAAAAGCGCCGAATTTTATCTGCCAACCTAGTTCAAGGTCACGTGCTTCCTTCATTTGTGTCCTTCTCAGTCTGTCGACCAAACCCTTTACAACGCTTACGTTTGGCTTGATAATCGTGTCTAAAAAGGGTTAAATCATATTCGATAACTCATATATGTTTTTAAGTATTGAAGTCACATCCATTCAAAAGGATAACAGCTTTGTGTTTCCTTGGTAGGCTGGGTATGGGGCATGACGGTGACAGCAACTCGTGTACCCCTGGGGTCAACATCATGTCTGGCACAGGGGCCAATGCTCACTCCGCCATCAAGTGGTCGACCTGTAGCAAAGAGTCTCTCACCAAGTTCCTCGGGTATGTATATCAACACAATCTACAAGAGGACTAAATGATAAATCTACGTCTAATATCAATAGCACCAATTTAACAATCATTCCTAAACTGAGGATTCCCATAGAAAACCATAAATAACATAAAGTAAAATGTCCTTAACTTGATATTTCCAATGATGCTTTCCTGTTAAAAAACAAGGAAACTGGAGCTAGACAAAGCTAATCTCCCAAACTTACTATAAAGGGTCAAAGTGTTTTGCCTACACTCAACGGTACAGATACAAAAATGATTTCATTTAATGCAGTATTAAAGACAAAAGAATGGTACCCATAAACTTAGTGTTAAAGACACGAGAGTGATAACCCTACATTTACTATTATAGGTACAAGTATGGTAACCCTACACTCACTATTACACACACGAGAGTAATAACTCAACATTTACTATTATAGGTACAAGTATGGTAACCCTACACTCACTATTACACACACGAGAGTAATAACTCTACATTTACTATTATAGGTACAAGTATGGTAACCCTACACTCACTATTACACACACGAGAGTGATACACCTACGCTCACTCACTTTTACAGACACGAGAGTGATAACCCTACACTCAGTATTACAGACACGAGAGTGATAAACCTACACTCACAATAACAGACACGAGAGTGATAACCCTACACTTTTATTACAGACACGAGAGTGATAACCCTACACTCAGTAGTACAGATGTAAGAATGATATCCATACACTCATATAACATATACAAGAATGATAACCCTACATTCATATTAAATATACAAGAATAATAACCCTACATTTGCAATAACACGTACGATAGTGATATCACTACACCCACTATTACACACAATACTTCTCTGACTTACAGCTCTCCTAGCAGTAGGTGTCTGAGTGACCAACCGCCGGCCTGGGCGTTTTCTCAGCTGAATATTGCTCAGAAACCTGGACTTGTGTACTCAGGAGATGAACAGTGCCGACTAGCAATGGACGATAACAACAGTAAAGTGTGTGAGGGCACTTCTTTAACCACCGGGGTAAGTGGAAAATCAAATTATGTAAGGGCACCGGTCGAACCACAATGTTAAATTGAAAGGTCTACCTCTGTTGGGGCACCTCCCTCATTGTAGAGGTGAGTGAAAGGTCTACCTCTGTTGGGGCACCTCACTGATCGTAGAGGTGAGTGAAAGATCTACCTCTGTTGGGGCACCTCCCTGATCGTAGAGGTGAGTGAAAAAGTCTGTCTCTGACCTCAGGGATGATGAGAAAAGTCGAATTATGTTTGGTCATATTTATGATCATATGGAAAAGTGAAATTCTGTGAGGGCACACTAATGCCCAGAGAATACCTTCATATTAGATACATGATGTTCCAAAATGTCCGAGACACTGTGCCTATTTAACTTGGGGATTCCCTCGACATATAATTGATTTCCTAAAAAGTTTTGAAATTTGGGTGATTCATTGTGTTACATTTGTTTTGTATTGTGTTTAGAATGAGTGTAAGATGCTGGTTTGTTACGGCCCAGTCATCCCAAACCGCCAGCGATCCTGTTATCGGGGCGGACCAATCAGGCTGGACGGAACAGAGTGTGGAAACAGAAAGGTAGGTCATCTGGTGTACAGCTGACCAATCACAACAAGTGATACACTTACTATGTATAGGAAATGATACACTTACAACGGGCCAATGACAGTAGATGTTACATTTAGTTTAGATTACTAATATTTTACATAAATAGGTACATAAACACACCGTTATATCACCGACTGATGCAACGGAATTAAGACTGCTAAAACAAATACAAACAAATCATCAAACGGTAGAACAGGTTTCTGAAAATTGTTGTACAATAACTATATATTGATTACAGTGGTGTATAGGTGGTCGATGTCTCGCCATGGGAACCGGTGCCCCTACACCTGTCCATGGTGGCTGGTCAGCCTGGAGTGTAGACTGGACGCCGTGCTCTCGGACGTGTGGGGGTGGAGTCATAGTCAAGACCAGGAAGTGTAACAAACCAGAGTGAGTTTTACCAATCAGTTTGAGTGTAACAAACCAGAGTGAGTCTAACCAATTAGTGTGAGTGTAACAAACCAGAGTGAGTTTAACCAATCAGTTTGAGTGTAACAAACCAGAGTGAGTCTAACAAATCAGTGTGAGTGTAACAAACCAGAGTGAGTCAAACCAATCAGTGTAAGTGTAACAAACCAGAGTGAGTTTAACCAATCAGTGTGAGTGTATAACAAGTGAGTCAATGTAACAAAGATAACTTTAAAAGCAATGTTAATATACTTTCAAAATAAGTCAGTATTTCCTGATCATCCAATAAGATATATCAAAGATGATGTATGCCCTAAATGGAAGTAAAATGCGTCCAAAAATTAATAAGAAGCACAAAAAGCATGTAGCGCCTGTTATTAAATGCTTTTTGCGAACACATTTGACAATGTTGACTTTCAAAGTCGGTCAACAAAGTAGACTTACTTTTTTTACCCATTTTGACCCCTGCGACTTCGAAAGTATCTCAGTTTCATTTCTTAAGCAACTTCTTTCAACACCAAGCTACCGGACAAATATCGGTTACTCAAGACTTTGTGATAATGAACACACATTTAAACTTTAACACATTTGACCCTTGCGACCATCAAAATAGATCAAGGTAATCTATTTTAACATAGCTTTTAATCGCACAATCTAAAAGTGAAAAATCGTTATACTGAGATTAATGGATCTGTACACGTAGAACAAATCTCTTGAATAATTTGTCAACTTTGACCCATGTGACGTTGAAAGTGATTCAAATTCATTTATTTCAACGATTTTTGTATGACTCCGTCCAAGTCGGCTGCTGGCCATATATTGTTATTCGAAAGGATTTTCTAAAGATTTAAAACTATTTGACCCTTATAACTTTTTAAGTGCGAAGTGATCATTCACTTGAACAAACGTGAAAGTCCTTCACGCCAACATGCTTAAAACCAAATGGCATGGTTATAAGCTTCTTGGTTATTCAGAGAAAATTGTTTAAAGATAGTAACGAATTTGACCCATGGTTTCTAAAGTAAGTTAATGTCATTTGCTTTTGCAACTAAGTAGTATTCCACACAAGCTTCTGTACAAATAAAACGACTTTAAGCTTTCGGTTCTTCAGAAAAATTCGTTTGAATGTTTAAACAAATGGTTACTTTGAATAGGATTTTTTGAAGAAAGATAAATCATTTGATTCCTGTTCACTAGAAAATAAATCAAGTTTAGTTTTTCGCAAGTATCCAAGGAAGCAACTAGTAAAACATTATTCCTTATAGTTCTTAAGAAGAACTCGTTTGAGTAAAAATACAAGGAAGACTGACAGGAAACCGTCCCGTAAACTGACATGCACTATTAGACGTACTAAATCAGTCAAATCCTACTCTCTATCTAAAACAAATCGTATGATTGCATGTTGTAGGCCTCGGTTTGGAGGTAGAGACTGTCCCGGGGAGAGTACACAGGCCAAGCTGTGTAATATGAAGGTAAGATAAATGGAGACGCCAAGGAAAACGAGTTTACAAAACACAACGTGTACAACAGGAGCCCTTAATAATGGTATCGTCACTTTTCATTCCATACATGTTTTATTGTTTCTCTCGTTTCATATCATATTAATGAGCACAGTGAAAGGACTGGGTGTGTTTTAATGGTACTGTGCTATATATATATATATAATAAAAAAAGATTAAAGAAAAAAATAGATTTAATGACCGACTAAAAAACTAGCTGCTTTCACCCTTCAACCTGAAGAGCCCTGTGAAGGGTGAAAGCAGCTAGTTTTTTAGTCGGTCGTTAAATCTTAATTTTTCTATATAATATTAACATGGACCTTTGTATAAGAAATAAGTAATCTGGAACACTACATACATGATTTTCAATTTGGATTCTTAACACTATGGAAAATTTGTAATAAATGAAAATAATAACGAGAAAGGCGAAGTAGACGCAACAATCGTTCCCACTGTATGTGATATTGAGTACCAATGACGAGTCCTTTAAGGCCGGACTGACCATATATTGGTTCAGGAAAATGTAATGTTGTTTGGCTATCGGCATGTACTATCAAACTTTTCATACAGATGCTCCAATTCTACATACATTCCGTTATTATTTAACGTTTTTGTTTGGAAACCAGCTTTGCGTGTTTGACGTGGTGGGTTCTGGTGGTATTTAGTATTTATGTGTCTGTGTTTTGATACAGCCTCTTTAATGGTGATTACGTGGTGGGTTCTGATGGTATTTAGTATTTATGTGTCTTTGTTCTGATACCACCTCTTTAATCGCGATTACGTGGTGGGTTCTGATGGTATTTAGTATTCATTTGTCTTTGTTCTGATACCACCTCTTTAATCGCGATTATTTCTGCTAATGTTGACTTCTGATGATTTATAGGTAGTTTTTGTGGTTCTTGCTTCAAGGGGTGTTTGACTATTTCTGTTACGTTCAATCATGATTGGTTTAAGTTATTATGTTTACTTCTGACGTTTGCCTGCATCTGACGGCGTTAAGTTTTGATTGTTCTTGCCTTCGATTACATATCTTTTGGTGTTCAGACCGGATGGTTTAATTCTAACGGTGTTACTTTCTTTGAGTACTTGATTCTGGTAGTGTTTATAAGTAAATTATGGTCTTTGCTGATGGTTGTGATAAAGTCTGAGGTTTTCAGCTGTGATTGTTTGTTTCTGTTTGTTACTTGACCTGCTAGTGATACTTCTAATGATGTTTTGGTAATGTTTAGTTCTGGTTGATGCTGAGCTCTGATGATGCTTAGTGATGATGGTACTTTTCTCATGATATCAGATTGATTCTGATATGTAAGCTATTTTTTTTTATAAATTTGATTATGCTTGTATTAATAGTGAATGCTGAGGTGTTGCATAATAAACTTTTCACTTTACTAGGTGGTGAGATAACTGTGAAATTGTAATTTCAGAGTTGTCCAGCGAATGCAGACAGCCGGGCAGAGCAGTGTGCCGCAACCAACAGTTTCCCTGTAGATGGAAAAACCTACCACTGGTTACCTTACAATGGTAGGTTAAACTAACAGTTACTCCTAGAAGTTACCTGTAAGTTGCTTTCCTATTAATGACACTAAAGCTATGGCCAGGAACACATCGACATTATTGTTTAAATCAGCTAATATTTACAAGTATATTTTATAGGTACTCATCCTTCATGCTTTATCATCTAACACATCTAATTAGTGTAACTTTGATGTTGGCAGATCACTTGTGTTCGATGAGGTGCTTTGACGAGTACGCCAATATTGTTGACTATCGCGCCGACAAGTACACGGACGGTACAGAGTGCAAGGTTTCTGGTCCTTTCTCCCGCTGTGTTGGCGGACAGTGCAAGGTAAGATACCACCCTATCCCAGGCTGTATCGGCGGAACGCAATATAAAGCTGCCTGTCCTTTCTCCCGTTTTTGGGGTGGCCACTGCAAGAAAGTTTCGCTGCCCCATTCTCCTGCTGTCGTTGTGACTGCAGGCAATGATAGGTACGGTCGCGCCTTCTTTTCTTCTGCCACTCAGCTGGCAATAAAGGTAAGGCTGCAGTCCCTTTCTCGCGTTGTATCAACGGGTGCGGGGCGAGTTTGCGGATCTTTCTTCCGTATCGGCGGACGGAGCTAAATAACGATTTCTGGATATTAAATATGTGATACGACTGAGAATATTGATATAGTTTTATTGTTAGCTCACCTGCCCGAAGGGCAAGCGAGCTTATGGCGTACCGCGGCGTCCGTCGTCCGGCGTCAACTTTTCCCTTTAAAAGCCTTTATCTCCTGAACGAGTGATTGGATTTTACCTAAATTTTGATATGAAGCATCCTTGGGACCAGGGGCTCAATGGATTTATGAAATAAGGGTGTGGCCATCTAGGGGGTTCAGTAAGGGGCCAAAAAGGGATCTGCAGGTCTGAGCCTGATTTCAAAAATCTTGTTCTTTAGTTATAAAAATGCTAGGATCAAATACTACCCATAGCTGTAATGGCATTTGGGTGGTTTATATAATTTGTGATTCGTATGTCTCCCAGGGCCCCCCTGAGGAGGTGGTGAAATTTAGTATAGTTTATATTGGAAATAGACATGACAGGCCATATCTTCCATTGTTTTGAAAATAATTTATTCATATTTAAGAGAAATACTTATTAGGGGAGGAGGGTCTGCTGGTATAAATTTTGTGAGTCTGCTCCCCTAGGGGGCTGAGTTGGGGGCCGAAAAGGGGGGTGGATTTAGGGGAATTTCAAAAATCTTCCAGTTCTAGAAATGCTAGAATCAAGTATTACTCATAGCTGTAAAGGCCTTCGGGTGGTTTATAAAATTTGTGATTTTCATGACTCTCAGGGCTCCCGTTTGCCCCTGAGGAGGGGTTGAAACTTAGTATATTTATATATAATGGACATAATAGGCCATATCTTCCAATGTATTGAACGGAATTTGCTCACATTGACAGAAATACTTGTTAGGGGAAGGAGGTCTGCTGGTATAATATTTATGCGTCTGACTCCCTAGGTGACTGAGTTAGGGGCCAAAAAGGGGAGAAATTTGGGAAAATTTCAAAAATCTTCTTCTCTAGTTAAAGAAATGCGAGGATCAAATACTACCCATAGCTGTAAAAGCGTTTGGGTGATTTATAAAAAATGCTTTTTTATGTCTACCAAGCCCCTCGTTTGCCCCTGGGGAGGGGGTGAAATTTAGTATAGTTTATATAGGAAATATACATAATAGGTCATATCTTCCAATGTTTTGAACGGAGTTTGCTTATATTTGACAGAAATACTTGTTAGGGAAGGAAGGTCTGCTGGTATAATTTTTGTGACCCTGATCCCCTAGGGGGCTGGGTTTTGGGTGAAAAAGGAGGCGAATTTCAAAACTCTTCTTTTGCAGTTCCAGAAATGCTAGTACCAAATACTACTCATAGTTGTAAAGGCCTTCGAGTGGTTTATATACTTTGTGATTTTCATGTGCCCCAGGTCCCTCGTTTGCCTTTGGGGAGGGGGTCAAGTTTGATATTGTTTATATAGACAATTCGACAAATGAACAGCCATCACATACTTTTTATCGCCAACCCAATTAATGTGCTAGTGATAGTAACAACCTTAATTCTTTATGAATTATAAAGTCTCCATAGTAACGCTTCCAAGTTCTTACCCTACATGTCTGAAGTGGTTACAAATTAGCATTACAGAGCAAATGTAAATATCGTGCCATGATTGCTTAAATAACCAGGTGAGCGATAAGGCCCCCTGGGCCTCTTGCTTTTGTCATGTTTTATAATTATGTGGAGTAAGGTTACTTTCAATATTGTGATGTCGCAAAGAGAGCAATTGAAATTGAAAGCATGATGATGTCAGAGAATTAAAAACTGTGTGTGAAACATGTTCATTTGGCTCTGTTGACATATTCTACCTTAAAGAATTGTTAATTTGTTACATTTTATATAAGGTATATAAATAAAGCAGTCGTATAACAGTTGATATCAACTATAATCTAATGATAAGAAAAATATATTAAAAACAGGGTATGGTACTTCTTGTTTTTCAAAGAAATTCAATCCAAATTTGTACATATTGATTTCACGCTCCCTTGTTGATATACATCTTCTTTCCTTTTGCATAAAAAACACTTTTATGCATTTCTGATAAAATTCAGTATCCAAATCAGATTAAAATTATGTTTTAAAGCTGTATTTACATACCGAAAACAAAGTTATCAGCGGGGTCATAAACAATTTCATCACGATTATTGAGACAGATTTCATTAAATGTTACAACAAATCTAATTGGTCTTTTTGGAGTTGTGCCGACCAGATGAAAAGTTTCGTGGAATCTTTCTTTTAGTTTAATATCAGTGATTTGCTAAAATAGAAACTCTACTAGTTTTTTTGTAAAAATAAATAAATGTAGTTTTATGTTTCTATCTTCCTTTATGAACTCTTTTTAAAGGATAATTTTTACAAAGTCTGTTTTTCCACTCCTGTTAAATATTAGCATTCCAATTTGTTGATTTTAATGTGATAATGAGTAGGTTTTGTTTATAGCTCACCTGCCCGAATGGCTAGTGAGCTTATGCGATGGCGCGGCGTCCGTCGTCCGTCGTCCGTCGTCCGTCAACTTTTCCTACAAATCGCTACTAGTCATAAACGACTCAGCAGATTTTGACCAAATTTGGTCAGAAGCATCCTTAAGGGAACAAATTTTGTATAAATGGCGGGTCTGACCCCTTGGGGGCTGAGGGGCGGGGCCAAATAGGGGAAATATAGCAAATTCTTTAATATCCTTCTTTTTATGTAGGAATGAAAGGATTTGTTCCATATTTGGTCTGAAGCATCCTTGGTCGAAGGAAAACCAATTTTGTATAAACCGTGGGTCTGGCCCCCGAGGGGCCTGAGTGGCGAGGCCCACTAGGGGAAATATAGCAAATTTTTTAATATCCTTCTTTTTATGTAGGAATGAAAGGATTTGTTCCATATTTGGTCTGAAGCATCCTTAGGTGAAGGGAAACAATTTTTTTATAAACGATGGATGTTGCCCCTGAGGGGCCTGAGGGGTGTGGCACAATAGGGAACACATAGTAAATTCTTTAAAATCCTTCTTCTTCTTCTGCAGGAGTGAAATGATTTGTTCAATATTTGATCTGAAGCATCCTTGGTTGAAGGGGAACCAAATTTGTATAAAAAGATGGGTGTGGCCCCCCTGGGACCTGATGGGTGGGGCCCAATAGGGGAAATAGAAGTAAAACCTTTACAATCCTTCTTCTACTATAGTAATTAAGGGATTTTATCCTAATTTAGTCTGGAGCATCCTTGGGAAAAAACCACTCAATTTCGTATAAACAGCGAGTGTGGCGCCCCTGGGGGCGGAAGGGAAGGGCCCAATAGGGGAAACATAGCAAATTCTTCAAATACCTTCTTCTTCTGTACGAATGGCAGGATGTTGTCCAAATTTGGTATGAAGCATCTTTGGGTGAAGGGAAACCAATTTTATATAAACGGTGTGTCTAACCTCCCTGGAGGCAGAGAGACGGGGTCCAGTAGGGGAAATAGAGGTAAAACCTTTAAAATCCTTCTTCTACCATAGGGATTAAGGGATTGTATCCTTATTTAGCCTGGAGCATTCTTGGGCCAAGGGGTCTCAATTTTGTATAAACGGTGGCTATGACCCCCCTAGGGGCATAGGGGTTGGACTCTGTTTGAAGGTTGTTCTTGCTATATCTCAAGTACTGAATGGATCTTTCTGAAATTTCATATGCACTTACAGCACCTACCATGGAGTGCTATATCTTTACATCATACCAATTAGTTTACACCTATTCGGGTGAGCGATACAGGCCCTCTGGGACCCCTTTTTTTCTAATTCAGAGCAATAAAGACATTCTATGATAGAAAATCGAAAAAAACCCACATATTTTTGATGAAGTCAAGGTTATCGAGAGCCCTGTAACGAACCTGACTGTATTGACAATCTATGTAATTATGTTTCCATTATCAATGTTCCGTAAGCCCACAAGTTCGAACTACTGGTATTATAAGCTTTTGTATTAATCCACAGAAATTTGGCTGCGATGGGCATCTAAACTCTGCCAAGGTTTTTGACAAGTGTGGAGTATGTGGTGGTCAGAGTAACACATGTTCTACCCATCGCGGTACCTACAACCAGGGACAAGCTAAAGGTGAGTACAAAGAACGAGGGTAGATGAGTGTACAACTAGGGACAAGCTAAAGGTGAGTACAAAGCACGAGGGTAGAGGGTTGTACAACCAGGGACAAGATAAAGGTGAGTACAAAGCACGAGGGTAGATGAGTGTACAACCAGGGACAAGCTAAAGGAGAGTACAAAGCATGAGTGAAGAGGCGAGTACAACCAGGGACAAGCTAAAGGTGAGTACAAAGGGCGAGGGTAGAGGTTTGTACAATAAGGGACAGGCTAAAGGTGAGTACAAAGCACGAGGGTAGAGGATTGTACTACTAGGGACAAGCTAAAGGTGAGTACAAAGCACGAGGGTAGAGGAGTGTACAACCAGGCACAAGCTAAAGGTGAGTACAAAGCATGAGGGTAGAGGAGTGTACAACCAGGGACAAGCTAAAGGTGAGTACAAAGGGCGAGGGTAGGGGTTTGTACAATAAGGGACAGGCTAAAGGTGAGCACAAAGCACGAGGGTAGATGAGTGTACAACCAGGGACAAGCTAAAGGAGAGTACAAAGCATGAGTGAAGAGGCGAGTACAACCAGGGACAAGCTAAAGGTGAGTACAAAGGGCGAGGGTAGGGGTTTGTACAATAAGGGACAGGCTAAAGGTGAGCACAAAGCACGAGGGTAGATGAGTGTACAACCAGGGACAAGCTAAAGGAGAGTACAAAGCATGAGTGAAGAGGCGAGTACAACCAGGGACAAGCTAAAGGTGAGTACAAAGGGCGAGGGTAGGGGTTTGTACAATAAGGGACAGGCTAAAGGTGAGCACAAAGCACGAGGGTAGATGAGTGTACAACCAGGGACAAGCTAAAGGAGAGTACAAAGCATGAGTGAAGAGGCGAGTACAACCAGGGACAAGCTAAAGGTGAGTACAAAGGGCGAGGGTAGAGGCTTGTACAATAAGGGACAGGCTAAAGGTGAGTACAAAGCACGAGGGTAGATGAGTGTACAACTAGGGACAAGATAAAGGTGAGTACAAAGCACGAGGGCAGAGGAGGGTACAACCAGGGACAAGATAAAGGTGAGTACAAAGCACGAGGGTAGATGAGGGTACAACCAGGGACAAGCTAAAGGTGAGTACAAAGGGCGAAGGTAGAGGTTTGTACAATAAGGGACAGGCTAAAGGTGAGTACAAAGCACGAGGGTAGATGAGTGTACAACCAGGGACAAGCTAAAGGTGAGTACAACAGACGAGGATAGAGGAGTGTACAACCAGGGACAAACTAAAGGTAAGTACAAAGCACGAGGGTAGAGGAGTGTACAACCAGGGACAAGCTAAAGGTGAGAACAACAGACGAGGATAGAGGAGTGTACAACCAGGGACAAACTAAAGGTAAGTACAAAGCACGAGGGGAGAGGAGTGTACAACAAGGGACAAGCTAAAGGTGAGTACAAAGCACAAGGGTACAGGATTGTACAACCTGACCCGAAATAATCAAAAGGAATCTCATCTCAATTGGAAGTCTCAGAAGTGATGAAAACTGGAAACGTAAAACATTTGTAAAGGTATGGGGACACCAACTGGGAAGGCAAGCATATGCGAGTGAAAGGCGAGTTACTAGAAAGAAGGATTTCACTGGTACAACAAATGGGTACAACCAGGAACGATAACCAAAGGGAACAATCAGACAGTAAAGCAAGGGATTAAATGTGACTATACGAGAGTTACTAATTGTAAATGTTTGCTGGTATATGTTTGAACTTCAGTCTTTCTGACTTTATATATGTATATCAATTTGCAATTTTTCTGCTGATGTCGTAGTGAAAAGGCTATTCATGGAAGTCTTTGTTTGTGTGTTTTCTCCTTTTCATTTTTCTACAAATGTTTGCAGGCTTGTTTTAAATTGGTTCCGTTAACCTTCTGAACTGGATCTTAAACGTTTCTAGAATTTGATATTAAAATTAAATAAGTCCTAATTTGCTTTTGTCGTATAATTGCATACTAATTTTGGTCTGATACCTGCTTCTGTTTTAATCATGTCAAGGTCCAAGCTACATACGGTTGGGTGCATTTCTTGTTTATTTGGTGACGATGATCGGTTTGTGGGGTCTCTGATTTTCTTAACGAGTAAATGAAAGTGAGAGTACTTTATTTTTGAATGTTGATTGTCTTTTTCAGCATATGTGACGGTGGTGTCTATTCCTCGTGGAGCCACAGGTGTGGTTGTGACCAATACCAACACCTACTGCCATATGAGTAAGTATGCCACAGGTATGGTTGTGACCAATGCCAACACCTACTGCCATATGAGTAAGTATGCCACAGGTGTGGTTGTGACCAATACCAACACCTACTGTCATATGAGTAAATATGTCACTGAAATGTCGCATAACTTTACTATATAAATGCCGAATGATCTAGTGTGTAACATATCTACTTAATAATATAACACAACATGGATAAGAAACTCGTAGTGTTTCTCATGAAAATGTTGGTATCAACCTGGAAAAATGAAGAGGTCTTTTCGATTTTTTTTCTTCTGATTACACCCCGGAACCTCTGATCTCTGTAAAACCCGATGCCTATTAGAGCATGTTTTTTTTATTCAAATTTAAATGGAAAGTGTTTCGCACGCTTAAGATACTTTTAAAACAGACCATAGTATAGGGCTTATTAAGACTTGCATATAGTCGTTGCAGAAATCTTTAATTAAAGTCTTATCATATGGTCAAAATATTGAAAGGATTGAAGTAAGCACGAAATATTGACAAATTTACTATATATAGAAAAGAATAGAAAGAATGTTTCAAATTACGCGGACATTTTTTTTTTATTGAATAAGTCATGCTTTATTGAAGCACTTTTGTAAATTTTTTGGAAATTTGAAAACTCACATATATATACATTGTATTATATTAGCATATATATTGCACTTCTACATAAATAAGGTGTTTTTAACTAAACAAACAAAGTATTACACTCACATTTCAATACAGCGTAGGGAAACGACATATTGTATATAACGGTGACAGATAAGTAAAATGTATTACACTCACTCTAAATGAAATATATTACAGTTGTATATTAGCTTATAAATACCATATCACACTCATACATAACAACAAAACATTTCACTGCTACATCAGTTATAGTTTATTTTGTGTTTATGGCACGCGTCCCTTTTCGTCGTAGGTGTAAAGATCCAGGGTGCGCTTCTATTCAGCCTGGGAACTTCAATATCACTATCTGGAAAATTCCTATCTCATGGTGTGACTGTTGAATATCGACGGTCCGGTCCCGAGAAAATCACCATCCGGGGCCCTACGCCTGTAGGACTGGAGATACAGGTATCTAATTGGGATGTCACACATTTGTTTATCATTCTTATCCCCTTTAATTTGTTGTACTTGTTTTTGCCTGTTTTTACTTGTTACTTGCCTTTGTTTACTGGTAACTTACCTGTGTTGTCCTTCCAGGTGTGGAGAGACTATGGTGATGGGTACGAAGGCGTGAAACCTCAGATCTCCTACACGTACTCTACTCCTACACAAACCCCTTACGCAGGCTACACATGGAAGGCCACACAGGGGCCCTGTAGTAAGACATGCGGCACAGGTAAGTGTATAAGTTAATGTACATATGTAAAAGGATAAAAGAGCACGGGTAATTATACAAAGAAGTCTACTGTGGGGCCTCTTTGTGAACCTTTTGTACTGGTAAGTTTGCATGTTATAGGACATGCGGCATTGGTAGTTAGACTTTGAGGGTCACCCAGAGGACCTAGTGCTGGTCATGGTCAGCGTTCAGTGTCTGTTAACACGTCCACGTGGAGTACGTTAGTACCTGTCCTAATGGTTATTTGTTTACAGTAGGGTACTTTCCAGTAAGCGTTTAGTGTATTTAGTGCCTGTGGTGGCCAGTTACATGTTGAGCTGTAATACAATGTTTGTTGAAGGTAACTCTCTGGTCAATGTCCAATGTCTGCGGACATCCAGTAACTCTCGTGTAGAGGATTTCCACTGTAACATCTACAACCGGCCACAGGAAACGCTAGGAGACTGCAACACTAAAGACTGTCCACCTCAGTATGTATAAACTATGCTCAGAGTATCTCCATCCTTAACTTTCAAATCCTCAATACTAGAACCATCCCCATCCTAAACTTTCAAACCAAATCCATCCTCAATACTAGAACCATCCCCATCATGAACTTTCAAACCGAACCCATCCTCAATACGCTTACCTGCTCAATCTTCAATTCTACAACCAACTCTACTTCATTACGATATTCAGACCAAGTCCATTTATAATCGTTCCCCCCCCCCCCCCCTGAAATCAATATCATATCTATCAATTTAAGGGACCAGCTTCTAATTTATAAGACATTGTGTTGTAGATGGCATACGAACGATTGGTCGTCCTGTTCCAAGACATGTGGTAGCGGGTCCCAGTCACGTGTCGTTCAGTGTGTTGCCATACAGGGAGACTCTTACAGGGTAGCCGGAGACAACCTCTGTAACCTCGCCCACAAACCTGCTGCCACCCAACAGTGTAACACACAGCCCTGCCCAGGATTCTGGAAGTCTGGCGCCTGGTCCACTGTAAGTATATCCTTTCATCTGCATGCTCTTTAACATGTCGATAGTCTAACTCGTGAAGTGATACCACGTGGACATCATTTGCTATGAGTAAGCTGTGAACAAATCTCTAGCGTGGCCTGAAACGGTATTATTCACCTGGGCCAATGAAATCAGGTGGGACACATCTCGGTCCTACTCTACCAAATTCCTCTCCAAGACTGCTTTTGAAACTGTAGCAGCTTTTTATTAAATATGGCAGAACGGAAATTGACTTTGCCAGTATACCGAAAGAAAGCAGAGAGAGTCTTCACTCCATGGAAAAACACTCCAACAAAAACAGTTTAACAATACGGGATTATTTTGGTGCTATGCATCACAGCAAAACATTCATCCTCTCAATACTTTCATAGCTTCTAGTGAGGACAGCAGTTAATTCAACACCCCAAAAGGGAGGAATTCCTGGGATTTTAGAATTTGCCGAACACGTCAGCTAACTATTCAGAGAGGCCATGTAGAACAAAGCAATATGTCAGTGGTATGATAAGACGTGCGGAGGTAGTCTTGCACCTTTAAACCATACCACAGCGCACCCGGAAAAAGATAATGAACTACTACGAACAGATACAACTGTTATTTTGGTATGGGAGAACATTATATCATGACAATGCGTTGAAAAGGGACAAGTGACAGGATGTCAATATCACCACTTCTCTTGTCTTAGGAATGGTTATCAAGACATACTTGGCAATGGTTGTTCGTAGATAACCTGAAGATTACCACAACCACCATATGCTGGCCAGAATTGTTTTATTGTGTGGGGTGGATGAGTTGACATGGACACTGATGCAGTTCAAAATCCGAAAATCAAATATCTATAGCTATGAAGAATATTAGCAGATTATGCTGAAGTATCCGGAGGAACAGATAATATCGATCATTGACAGTCCCACGAAATACCCAGGGATATGGATCTATGAAAGAACCACTAGAAACAAAAGCAAAGTGCATCAGTGAATGTCTGATTTCCAGGGAAGTACAAGGCATGTGTATCGTAATCAAAATGGCATTTAACCAAGAGTAGCATGGATGCTGCCACTAACTGAAATATCAATTTTAAAAGTAGAAAGCTTCGGGTGGATAAAAGTAAGGTAAACAATCTGACTTGTTTTACATAATTTCATCGGTTTAGATGATTTTGTTTTGCCATCATGTTTCCTTGAAGAGTAGTATTAAAGTCAGCATGGTTTCCACACTTATATCTGTCCCGTGAGAGTTTTGTTATCAACGTATGATTATAGAAATTTCCCCCCAAATCAGAATTATTGCATCCTTAAAGAATGAGATCACAGCATCATTACAGGGAGTGAGAAAACAGAATTATTGCATCCTTATAGAATGAGGTCACAAAATCATTACAGTGAGTGAGACATAAGAGACTTCTCATAAACCATAAATTGCTTAGAAGTTAATGTATCAAAGACGTATGTTCTCTATATGAACAAATATAATAGATTGGTTACAAATACCAGGTGGTATAGTTCTGTATTTCACGGGAAGAACATGTGTATTCACTAGATTATATGTCAGTATGTACCCACTCTTCTTGTCAGAGTTCTGTGATTGATAAAGAGGAAGCTAAGCCATGCTGATTGTTACAGTGTTCCCGAACGTGTGGGCGTGGCACTCAGACTCGTGACGTCAGCTGTTACGCGTCCGAGCAGTCTAATACTGTGGTGGATGTGACACGCTGTCCCGGACAGGAAAAGCCGATTGGTGTCAAACACTGCTTGCTTGAACCTTGTAATACCAACGTGGGTAAGGAAAATCTAACACCTAGTTACTAGAATCGTGTTATAACCAGTAACATAGTATTATATTTATATAATCAACTGTAAACACCACACCGTAATTACTGTGCTGTAATGAAGACCCTGTAATTAACACCTGTTATAGCCATTTTCATTAACATTATGTTGTTTTAACCTGTAATTACTACCCGTTTATATGTTGTTAACAATATAAAGCCATTAGCACCATGTAGTTAACACATCTGCTTACCACATTGTAATAAACACACGACTACCACCATTTTGTTAAAACCTTGTAATTAGCACCATGGAAACAGCACACTATTGAGGTAGTTTAATACGTTATTTTCAACCCCTTGTCATTGTGATTAGCACCTTGTACTGACTATATTGTAATTAGCGCATTCGATCAGTTCCATGTAATAGCACATTTATACACTGTTACAGTTCATTTTACCAGAATCAATTTTCCCGATACTGGAATGCAACCTATTCCACTAAATTCAAATATGCTTATAATCACAACTGAAGCTACAGTTGTCAGAACTGCTATATTTATTTATACTCGTTAGAACTGTGACAGTTTAAGCGTAGGTTTGACTTCTGTGGTACATTTAAGTTTGCAAGAAGACTAAGTTAACTTAGACTATCATAGACTAACTATAATTTGAGGGACTTCTTTGACCAATGTGGTATATTTAAGTTGGAGTTGAGGATATCTTTTCATAAATTAGACCCCTGATGTGTATTTATGGCGGAGGAAAGATTAGCGTATACTGACCAGTTTGGTTTATTGTAGTTGGAGCAGTGAACAAATTAACATAGATTTGATCAATTTATTTTACTTCAGTTGGAAGTAGCTGTCGAAACAAGGTGGACTGTACTCAGTATGCTGACAACATCTGTGAGGCGTCGGAATACCGGTCCTGGGTCAGCATTAACTGTATGGAGTTCTGTGGCATCTGTGCCAAGAACCTCAAAGGTGAGCAACACATTACCTCCCCTTGTTAAGGCGTGCTATCTCCCCTTCTTGTAGTTACAATTTGTATACTCTTGTTGTACCCACCTAGATCACCTCCCATAGTAACCTCTAGATTCTTGTAATTACATAATAACATAACAAGTTGGATCAACATGTTGTAGCCATCTTCATCACCTCTCCTGGTTACAGCTTTTCATGTTGTATTGTAGTGGGGCTGTGAAATTTTGATTCTATTGCTTCTGTTTTTTATTTGTCTGTATTTGGTATTTCAGTTTTCCTGTGCAAAGATAATATAACTAACTGTGATACGTACGAAAAGGGGTTCTGTCAGAAGTACACGGCCTGGGCTGAGTCCAACTGTCAGCGAACGTGCGGCTTCTGTGAAGGTAAGGCACTCAAATTGCTGTATAAACAAGGCATCTCCTGTTTACCACAGCAAGGTCTAATACAATTTATGTTGCGTCTACCAATAAATTGAAACTGGTTGAACATTTTACAAAAATCAGATTTAAAAAGATTGAATTTTAAGATCATCTAATTGTGTTTTTCGTAATACAATCTGGATTATGTTTTCTTTTTTTCCCGGAGCAGTAGATGGCATTGATCACAGTAAGATGTTTGTTCCGTAGTCAGCTTTATTTACAAGTAGAAGTCAACGGCTTAATGCTTTGCTGTTGTTGCTGAAAAGTGTGAATTACAATAAATGGGAAATAAGCAGATCAATTAACTTGAATGAAATTACATAAATAAAAATCAACGTTGTTGCAGAAAATATAACAGATATAATTTAATATAAAGATATCGTTAATTTGGAAAGTGTAAAAACAATATGCATATATTTATAATTTGAATCTGAATGTATTTATAACTGTTGATGTTCATCAAAGAGAAGTTACTCATTTTGTAAAAGTGTGCCGCTTGAAAAACAAATGCTAGAGACCTGCTTAAAATAGCAAAGCTTTAAAATCAGCTGTACATATAACCTGACAATGCGTTGAAAAGCTTTGAGAAGATGTCAAGCAGTTCTTGGTAATATTGGGTAATGTTTAAAACAACCTGTACGGTTACGTATGTATACATGAACGGTCATAAATACACGCTTATATGATGTATGTAAACCTGCATGACTATGTATGTAAATATGTATGGTTATACATGTACACAGGCGGTTCAACAGATGTTAGCACCACCACCGAGCCATGCGTTGACAAAATTTACTGCGCTGTTTACCAGAGAGATACATGTACCAACAAAGCCTACCGAGGGTGGGCAAAGGCACATTGTCGCCAATTCTGTGGTTTCTGTGGGACTGGTAAGACTACAAGGATAGGATGACTGGCGTACATAGTAGAACCTAGGACTGTTTAGCTACAGGTACAGAATGTCTGACGTACATTATAGAACATAGAACTGGTTAGCTACAGATATAGGATGGCTGACGTACATAGTAGATTCTAGGAATGGTTAGCTACAGGTATTGAATAACTGACGTACATAATAGAACATATGACTGGTTATTTACAGGTATAGGATGTGTGACGTACATAGTAGATTCTAGGACTGGTTAGCTACAGTTAGATACATGTACCAACAAAGCCTACCGAGGGTGGGCGAAGGCACATTGTCGCCAATTCTGTGGTTTCCGTGGGACTGGTAAGACTACAAGGATAGGATGCCTGGGTACCTAATAGCATCTTGTACTGGTAATCTACACGAATAGGATCACTGGATACTTACTAGAATCTTGTACTGGTCAACTACACGAATAGGAAGACTGGCTACTTAATAGAATCTCGTACTGGTAAACTACAAGGATAGGATGACTGGATGCTTAATAGAATCTTGTGCTGGTAACCTACACGAAGAGGATGACTGGATACTTAATAAAATCTTGTACTGGTAACCTACGCGAATAGGATGACTGACGTACATAGTAGAACCTAGGACTGTTTAGCTACAGGTACAGAATGTCTGACGTACATAATAGAACATATGACTGGTTAGCTACAGTTATAGGATGTCTGACGTACATAATAGAACATATGACTGGTTATTTACAGGTATAGGATGCCTGACGTACATAATAGAACATATGACTGGTTATTTACAGGTATAGGATAACTGAGGTAGATAGTAGAACAAAGGACTGGTTTGATACAGGTATAGGATGTGTGACGTACATAGTAGATTCTAGGAATGGTTAGCTACAGGTATTGAATAACTGACGTACATTATAGAACATAGGCCTGGTTAGCTACAGGCATAGGATGACTGACGTAGATAGTAGAACAAAGGACTGGTTTGATACAGGTATAGGATGCCTGACGTACATAATAGAACATATGACTGGTTAGCTACATGTATAGGATGTCTGACGTACATAATAGAACATAGGACTGGTTAGCTGCAGGTAAAGGATGACTGACGTAGATAGTAGAACAAAGGACTGGTTTGATACAGGTATAGGATGACTGACGTACATAGTAGAACATAGGACTGGTTAGCTGCAGGTATAGGACGACTGGCGTACATAGTAGAACATAGGACTGGTTAGCTACAGGTATAGGATGACTGACGTACATAGTAGAACATAGGACTGGTAAGCTACAGGGATAGGATGACTGGCGTATATAGTAGAACATAGGACTGGTTAGCTACAGTTATAGGATGACTGACGTCCATAGTAGAACATAGGACTGGTTAGCTACAGTTATAGGATGTCTGACGTACATAAGAGAACATAGGACTGGTTAGCTACAGGTATAGGATGTCTGACGTACATAATAGAACATATGACTGGTTAGCTACAGGTTAGGATGTTTGACGTACATAGTAGATTCTAGGACTGGTTAGCTACAGGTATAGGATAACCGGGGTATCCCGTAGGGGATAGGACTGGTATGTCTACTTTTGATCCTTGTCGTCCTGTAGACACATACAATGGTCAGACAATGCGCTAAACTAGTGGCGGTGATGTGTTAGTTAAACATAGTATTAAACTCTGGCTTGGATTGTACTCGAGAATGTATGTAATTTCGATAACTTTCAAGTTGTTTGTATTATCAAGTTTGTATTTTATGAAAGATCATTGTACAGTTAGAGAAGGCAATGTGATTTAAAGCCTGGTATCTGGTAAAGAGCTTTTGATAAAGCAGCACATTCAGTAATAAAAATCACAAATGATCAGAAATAGGCCGGAAAATGATCAATATTGTTTGACTTAAGTGTTTGACTGATTCCAGTTACCTCCCCTCCTACCACACCTACTACCCGCCCCACCACAACGGAAGCGCTCGGACAGGCGGTCACAGTCTGTGCCAACCTGATTGACTGCGCCTCGTATGCAAGCGATATCTGTACTAACTCTAGATTTAGGAAATGGGCAAACACGAACTGTAAAAAGCACTGTGGTTGGTGCTCGACGGGCGGTGGTAAGACTTATAATAGGTCCAGCAGCACATTGCTATCTATATTGTTCTAATGCTGAATGGTTAATATTAAAGTAAGCACAGATGATAAAAATTGTTACTTTAACTTGTTGTAGTTACTATTATTGCTTAGGTGCAATCTGTGTTATCGGATTATCATAAGGCTAATTCGACATGCCCAGAAATATAATATTTTTCAAAAATAAAAAATAAAACGTACACGATGGAAATTTTTTTCTGTGTATTTGTTCTTTTATGTATGTTGATTATAAAGCCAGTATAAAAGAGACTTTTGACAAAACTAAGTTGTTTTCACATTGTATTATATATCAGTATTAATGGTGCCCAAATATCTTTTCAATATTTATCATGCTCAAATATGGAGTCTAAAAACTCACGGTCGTATGAAATACAACACGGTAAATAAGATGTATATGTAAATGAGTTAACAAAGAGAATGCAGTGAAATGATGCAGTTTCAGGGTATGCTTTTTTATTCATTTGTTGAAAATGATTTAATAAATTCTGAGAAAACTGAAAGATGACGACCATTTTTTTTGATTTAAGGATTCTGATTAATTGATGTTGTAAGTGGATATGATAGACAAATACTTTAACATGTGTAGCGGAGGATAGAGGGTACCTCCCTCGTGGATCTTTATTCATCAGGGTGAAAACCCCGACATAGCTTTACCACAATTTATCATTGCATATGTACATTGAAATTTGTTTTAGCACATTTTTTTCCATGTCCAAAATTAATTTTGCATATCTATAAATCGGAAATCGCGTACCTTCTAAAATCTCCGCTCGTGACGCCCTTCTCATAACATAGTTTTCCAGTTGTTATCTGTCACGTAAGCAAGCTTCCCCGTTACAAAATTCAACAGCATACTCACGACAGAGAAGATAATTATGATAAATGTTAAAATATATTTTATAAAATGATAAATTCAAGCAAGCTATTTGACTGTATTACTTTTAAAAGTGTTTCGCCAGATTTTGACTGTTTTCAGTTACCTCCCCTCCTACCACAGCTACTACCCGCCCCACCACAACGGAAGCGCTCGGACAGGCGGTTACAGTTTGTGCCAACCTGATTGACTGCGCATCGTATGCAAGCGATATCTGTACTAACTCTAGATATAGGAAATGGGCAAACACGAAATGTAAGAAGCACTGTGGCTGGTGCTCGACGGGCGGTGGTAAGACTTCTAATAGGTCCAGCAGTCCATAAATGTTCTAATCAGTACCTCTTAAGTAAGTTAAAGTTCAAATATGATGATTTATAAAGGTAACTTAGGTGATCACTTTTCGGAATAAGATTGGTGCGGTCGCTGTTTTTTTAATTGGTATTACATTTTAGTCACGTGACAGACATTATGTTATCATACCGTTTCCAATGCTTACAGACCCTACAGAAAATACTGAATGAGATTAAAATTTGTTTTACAACATAACAAATCAAATGATAACTTTCGTTTCCTGTCTGGTACTTAAACCATGCTAGTTGGCAGTATTTTGACCAGATTTTGACTGTTTTCAGTTACCTCCCCTCCTACCACACCTACTACCCGCCCCACCACAACGGAAGCGCTCGGACAGGCGGTTACAGTTTGTGCCAACCTGATAGACTGCGCATCGTATTCAAGCGATATCTGTACTAACTCTAGATATAGGAAATGGGCAAACACGAACTGTAAAAAACACTGTGGTTGGTGCTCGAAGGGCAATGGTAAGGGTTGATTTGATTTGACTTAACAAACACGTTTGGTTATTATTCACAGAATTTTAAAATGGCGATTTTCTAAATACTATCTCATTATCAATTTAAGCATTAATACTATGAATCTTAGCCTCCAACAAGCCCCTTCATGGATTAACAGAGTATTTCCCATTTAGTGACCTAGGTGGTGTGGTAATAATAATGAAAATGATTTGATTGGCTGACACAGTGAGTACAACATCAACAAGTCTTGTGACCTCTGTAAGCTGTAGAGACCTGTTGGACTGTAGTACCTACCAGTCAGACATATGTACCAGTACCAAGTACTCCCGTTGGGCACACACAAACTGTCCCGATCGCTGCGGCTGGTGCCACCACCAACATGCATCATTGACAACGACTCCGGCCATTTTGACCACAACGGAAAAGACAGGGCAGGAGTCATTGGCATGTGTTGACGTTGTGGACTGCGCGGCGTATCAGAGTAACATATGTACAGCCTCTGGTTACCAGGGCTGGGCACACATCAACTGTCGTCGCCACTGTGGCTGGTGTGGTCCCAGTGAGGGTAAGCGTTTCTGATTGGTGGAGGGAAGTAACGTATAAACATAAACTACAAGATCAAGATTAACTGGTGATGGGTTACTGTGTAATTAACTTGAACTGGATGGTTGTTTTATTGTATAAGGGAAAGCTGGTGATTGGTTCTTGATGATAATGTGTGACGATAGCGCTGATGTACTGTAGGATAAGCTGGTAGTGGGTCACTGATTGCTGTATCAGGGTAAGGTGGAGGATTGGGCAGTATAGGGTTGTCTTGTGAACTGGAGAGTTGATAAACTGTGGGTTGTCTTGTGAGCTGGAGGGTTGATAAACTGTGAGTTGTCTTGTGAGCTGCAGGGTTGATAAACTGTGCGTTGTCTTGTGAGCTGGAGGGTTCATAAACTGTGAGTTGTCTTGTGAGCTGGAGGGTTGATAAACTGTGAGTTGTCTTATGAACTGTATAATTGATAAACTGTGGGTTGTCTTGTGAGCTGGAAGGTTGATAAACTTTGGATTGTCTTGTGAGCTGGGGGTTGATAAACTGTGGATTGTCTTGTGAGCTGGAGGATTGATAAACTGTGGGTTGTCTTGTGAACTTGAGGGTTGATAAACTGTGGGTTGTCTTTTGAGCTGTATAATTGATAAACTGTGGGTTGTCTTGTGAGCTTGAGGGTTGATAAACTGAGGGTTGTCTCATGAACTGTATGGTTGATAAACTGTGGGCTGTCTTGTGAACTGGAGGGGTGATAAACTGTGAGTTGTCTTGTGAGCTGGAGGGTTGATAAACTGTGAGTTGTCTTGTGAGCTGGAGGATTGATAAAATGTGGGTTGTCTTGTGAACGGGAGAGTTGATAAACTGTGGGTTGTCTTGTGAGCTGTAGGGTTGATAAACTATGAGTTGTCTTGTGAGCTGTAGGGTTGATAAACTGTGAGTTGTCTTGTGAGCTGGAGGGTTGATAAACTGTGGATTGTCTTGTGAGCTGGAGGATTGATAAACTGTGGGTTGTCTTATAAACTTAAGAGGTTTGTCTTGTGAGCTTGAGGGTTGATAAACTGTGGGTTGTCTTATGAACTGTATGGTTGATAAACTGTGGGCTGTCTTGTGAACTGGAGGGTTGATAAACTGTGAGTTGTCTTGTGAGCTTGAGGGTTGATAAACCGTGAGTTGTCTTGTGAGCTGGAGGGTCTATAAAATGTGGGTTGTCGTGTGAGCTGGAGGGTTGATAAACTGTGAGTTGTCTTGTGAGCAGGAGGGTTGATAAACTGTGAGTTGTCTTATGAACTGGAGAGGTTAGTTGTGTGAGCTGGAGGGTTGATAAAATGTGGGTTGTCGTGTGAGCTGGAGGGTTGATAAACTGAGAGTTGTCTTGTGAGTAGGAGGGTTGATAAACTGTGAGTTGTCTTATGAACTGGAGAGGTTTGTCTTGTGAACTGGAGTGTTGATAAACAGTGTGCTGTCTTGTGAACTGGAGGGTTGATAAAATGTGGGTTGTCGTGTGAGCTGGAGGGTTGATAAATTGTAAGTTGTCTTGTGGGCAGGAGTGTTGATAAACTGTGGGTTGTCTTGTGAGCTGGAGGGTTGATAAACTGTGAGTTGTTTTATGAACTTGAGAGGTTTGTCTTGTGAGCTGGGGGGTTGATAAACTAAGGGTTGTCTTGTGAGCAGGAGGGTTGATAAACTGTGAGTTGTCTTATGAACTGGAGAGGTTTGTCTTGTGAGCCGGAGGGTTGATAAACTGTCGGTTGTCTTGTGAGCTGGAGGGTTGATAAACTGTGGCTTGTCTTATGAACTGGAGAGGTTTGTCTTGTGAGCTGGAGGGTTGATACATTTTAGGTTGTCTTATGAACTATGTAATTGATAAACTGTGGGTTGTTTTATGAACTGTATACTTGCTAAACTGTGGATTGTCTTGTGAACTGGAGGGTTGATAAACTGTGGGTTGTCTTATGAACTGGAAGGTTGATAAACTGTAGGTTGTCTTGTGAACTGGAGAGTCGAAACTGTATCTTTATGCTGTATCGGATCAACTGCGTTACTGGACAGATGAGTCCCTTTGCTTTATCAGGTTTAGCTGGTGGTTGTTGACCCCGATTTACTTTTCACTTTATGATTGTTGCAGTATATTAGAGTACCCGGTGGTGGGTTACTGATTATATGTTTACTTGGATTGGAGGGATGTTATACTTTGTCAGGGTTATCTACTGCGCGGCTGCATACTTCTCATCACACCACCCATAGACCTTCCACCTCTACCAATATAATGTCTTGTAGAGACAAGGATGACTGCGCAGCGTACCAAAGCGACATCTGTACTAACTTCCGGGGGTGGGCCTCTGTTCACTGTAGTAAACACTGCGGGCTGTGCGGCGCGGGTAAGACTATAGTATGGTGGTGGTGTTTAACAAAGACAATTAGTTCTTGTATCTTTTTGCAGTCATAAATGTATTGGATACTTTTTATACATTTTTAGGCCTGTGAGATACAAATGTATATTTTTTGTAACTTTAAAGATTCAGCTGTCTTAAATGTGTGTCTCTGATAGACATGCCAAATGAAAGTATTGGAACTTGAAGTAACCTTTTCTTACAGATATCTTTATTCCCGCAGAAAATGAACAAGACTACCTCAAAACATCTTAACCCACACGGCTTTGCTTCAGTGCAATTCGGTCGATTAGACATGCAGTATATTTAGTGACTTGATACTTTTTATCTAACAGGTGCAAACTCCCATGCTGCTATTACCACTCCTACGCCGACTGCTGCTTCTGGAAATACTGCTTCCTGTTCAGACTTAATAGATTGTAGCTCCTACCAGGGAGACATATGTACTAACACAGCTTACAAGTCCTGGGCAAAGAACAACTGTCCCAAATTCTGTAAATTCTGTGGAAGTGGTAAGTGAAGACGCACACCAACTGTTCCTAATTCTGTACACTTTGTGGTAGTATTGACACAGATCAACGAACCTCCCCAAGTTTTACTGTAGAGAAAAGTATAGCCACAAACCAACTTCCCCTGCAACACTTTCCAGTCCTGGTGTTTATTGATAACGCTCCAGAGACTAAAGACAAAATTATCAACATATGAGAATCATGTCGGCCCAGCGAACTTCGAACAGGCGAGATAAACGATAAAATGCAGAAGGTGTTGTATCAAAATCTGTGTTGGTGTCAAACTTTAAACCTAAAGGAGACAAGGAAAACGTGGAGGAAGTATGCACATGGGCTCATACAACGGCACTTCTATCTCCTAAACCAACAGAACTCAAGTGAAGACACAATAACCTCACAAGAGTGTAAAATGCATTGATTATATTGTTAAAGATTGACCTCACCAAACCAAACTGTAGCTAAATCACAATATGGCGGATAAACCACATGATTTGGAATTTCTATTTTGTAAAGAGGCAAACATTATTTCAGAACTGAATTATCCAAGTCAACTCGAGAAGTGATTATCATGTCTTTCTGTTTAGCAGAAAACTTTATCAAATGAACTTACCCCGAGAATAAACAAGTACACAGAAGAGAAATGTATCAAGTAAGGTTTAATGATCAGGGGTTACTTTTATATCAATACGGTAGAGATTCTGAAAATGACAAAGTAAGACAGGACTTAATATTGATATAAGTCACAGGTTCGTTGAGGATGTTTCGATTTTAGTTAAAAAAACACGGTGACCACAAAATACGGCTGGAGGAGTAAATATACAAAAGATGTTGAACTATGATCGGGAAGATAAATGAGGCCGCTGTGCGTTACTTTTCGTACTATGGGCATTTCTGTTTCAGAACTTTTGATGGAAAATATAAAATATAGAATATTTTGTCTCCAACAATCCGTCGATAAGTTACACCTGGTGTGGATTAAACGATAATTCTTAATAATATTGAAATTATGAGTATACAGTTAGGTATATTACGACCACATTAGATTATAACCTTCCCCAAATACGATTTTACCTGTTGATTAACTTTTTCCCCGTATTGATTTTTGCTTTTTACATTTTGATTATCAGCCTCCCCATCCTTCACCATGTTAGTGTTTGAACTGTTGTTTTAAAAATCTCAATGACTTTATGGGTTGCATTTTAGGTAATTAATTCAAAGGAATACTCATACTATTATTATCTGAAGATCTAAAAGTTGAAATGCAATAAAATGTAGCCTTTTATGCTTAATATGGAATTGGTGGTGTATTTTAAAGACCAACACAGTTTCCAGACAATGATAACAAACTCGAAGCTGCTATGTATTGTTTTCTGCTGGCATTTAATGGTAACACCGCCTTGCTTCTATTACAGAGATAAGTTCCGAACCAAAAACGTTCTAAACGTCATCTAGTCTGCCAAGAGCACTTTGCACAGGACTTCTATCAGTCGAGTCGGCATTCTAGGAACGTTCCTGAAGAACTCAACGTTAATGCTTTTCAGATTACGAACGTTCCAACACGTTTTGATATGCGTTATATCTATGTTGATACAGATCCTACGAACGTTCCTGATTTTTTTACTTAAAATGTTCCTGGATGTTTTCGGTTCTACACGTACATCCAGGTTAAAGTTGGTCGAAATGTGTCTTACAGAGGCTCAATACAGCAGCGTTTAAATCTTTCAAACTGATAATAAGATGCTATGCGAAATTAACTGTTAATTAATGTGTTTAAAACGATTTAAAACAATTACAGTTGAAAATCACAAAATTCATGAACAGCTCAATATCTGGATTTCATCATGATTCGTGTTAATCAAATTACAGGTGGTACGCAAACCAGCTCCTCCTCCTCCTCCTCCTCCTCCTCCTCCTCCTCTTCTTCCTCTGGATGTGAGGACAAACTTGCAGATTGTGGCTCGTACCAGGCTGACACCTGCACCAACGAAGCGTACAGGTCCTGGGCAAAGCAAAACTGTGCCAAGCACTGCGATCTGTGTGGTAAGTTAGACATTATACTTGAATTTTTATTTGAGTAAGCCTAAACAGCCCAACAATACAAGACATACTGTGCCACGCAATATTCTTGACTAGTCACTAACAAAGTAAAGTCTAATAATATGTCCAACAGCGTCGCGTGATAGTCACATCTATAAGGTGACGCAATATCGTAAACAAGAGGCCCATGGGCCTAAACGGTCACCTGATTCCTACAGTATTTACAAAGTTTCAGTTCAATCGGCCCCGCAGAACCTGACTTTAAGTTTGAAATATTTTTTCAAAATGGCGGCCGTGGCGGCCATATTGGATTTCTGATCGACCCGAAAAATAACAACACTTTGTCAGGACCATGAGTCGATCATTCCTACCAGGTTTCAGTTAAATCGGCCCGCAGAACCTGACTTTAACTTTGAAATAGTTTTTCAAAATGGCGGCTGTGACGGCCATATTGGATTTCTGATCGACCCGAAAAATAACAACACTTGGTCAGGGAGATGTCAGTAACCTTCCCATGAACTATTAATGAAATCCCTTTGCCAGTATTTCAGCTTAAGTTGAAAATGTAAAATGTTAACGGACGACGGACGACGGACGACGACGGACGAAGACGGATAGCAATAGGTCACGAGCTAAAGCTCAGGTGACCTAAAATGTATCCCAAATCATTTCCTATGTTTATTTGTTCTAAACCCATTGCCTCCAAGAAGAAGAAGGAGAGCTACAACAACTAAATGACCTCATAATCACACCTCCTGCAGTATGTTTTTATTCAAAAAATATGTACTAAGAATGCAACATTTTAAACATCGAACCATCGGACTAGCGGGTTCTTTTTCCGACTCCTTTCATTTGACCTCTTTTGGACCCTGATCTTTTACTGTGTTATTTTATTGCATGCACTCGGAGTGCACTATTCTTCAACGACTCATATGTAAACAAATAATAATGCTCCAACGAATGTACGTCTGAAGTGCTTCCTTCTAAAGTTCGTTTAAGTGATTATCCCATGGTTATTGAGAAGAGGTCTACTACAGGAAAGGTTTACAAACGACAACAGAATGCAGCACAACACAAGTCCTTGCTTGGCTTTCAGGCTAGGTGAGCTTATAAGGTCAAGCAGGGTATTGTGATAGTCTTAACGCTCCATCAGCACCGAAGTTCCAGTTTAGCAATAGGTGACAACACATCTATATATGATCAACTTCTTTCTCTTGAATTTCCCCCGTCTTTTACTCTCTTTACCTTTTTCTGGTAATCATTACACACACAACTGGTTCTTTTGACTATTTCTTCACATTTTTAGGTCACCTGAGACAAAGTCTCAAGTGACCTATTGCGATCGCCTTTTGTCCGTCGTCGTCCGTCGTCCGNTTTGAATATTACATGTTAATAACTTGATTGGAATTATAACCTTGAGTTGACAGTTTGATACTTTGAAAATTTTGAGCCAGCCCTACCCCCAAGGGCTGTAGGGTGGGGCTCAAGGGAGTCAGTGTGCTAAAATTTCTTCATTTTCCTTGTTTAGAATCAGAGGTGCTAGTTTCAAATCCTTTTTAGTCTGAAATCTGTATGCTTGATATTGAATAAGGTGGTTTTATTGTTTTTTGTCACTTTGAATAATATTTCTGTTCATGTTAAAAACGAAATCAACTCTCTGTATAAATATATCAGGTGACCGTTAAGGCCCATGGGCCTCTTGTCTCTATAAACATTTCCTCTTTTAATAAGCTTTTCTTTGTTGGATATTTGTTAATGCTTTTTTTGGTAGTGACTTTATATTTTTCCGGATGGCTTTTCCTTCGGTGACCTTTCACCTGGTGATATTTCCACTCATGGCAATATTTTACTGTTTTGATGTTATGTTTGCAGACTGTACAGACAAGGTGAGCTGTAGTGAGTACGAGGAAGGGATGTGTACTAGCCCATCCTACAAGGCATGGGCCGCCAGTAACTGTGCTGCCTTCTGCAACATGTGTGGAGACAGGCGTAAACGTATGTAACACTGTACGCTATGCAACACTATCCGTATTCTAAAACTGTATGTAACACTACAAAAGTATGTATATGTTACAGTATGATACGTTCAGACTCCCCAGTACCGTTTCTTTCTGATGTATTGACAGGGTCTGTGTCTAATCTGATGGCAACACTGGAGAACTTGGAGCCAAGTCTGAGAATCCGCAACAGACCACCTTTCGTCTCCCAGGTGGAGCCCAGACTTGTCTCTCCAGCACAGATTGCAACACTTGTTGAGACCAGACACCCTGAACCCAGGCAGTTGTCCCCAGCAAAAGGACCAATGTTGGTGACCGAAGAGTCTAAGGAAATGTTGGACATTCACCCTGAGGAGCCCCATGAAAATGACTTTGTCCCAACACCAGTGAGGGTCGGAGTGGACGTTGTACCAACACCAGTGAGGGACGAAACTGATCTTGTACCGACACCAGTGAAGAACGGAACGGACATTGAACCTAAACCTCAGGAGGACATGGTGAATGAGCAGCAGTCCAAAGAGCTATTCCCTGGTCTTGTACCTGTCACCGTCTCACAAGTGCCGTTAGAGACAAAGGAGAGAGTTCCAGGGAAAGATTCCCATATGTCTGACCTACCAAACATCGAGGAGGGCCAGGCACCACTTGCTGTGCCTGCTCCCAAAGTAGACCTTGATCAACTGCCTCCACAGCAGAATAACTTTGAGGTTGGTCTCTTTGAATCGACCGAAGTCACAGGACATCAGGAAGTTGGGTCAAAATATGAGGGTAAAGGGGTTACCGTCGCCATTCAGGAACTTGAATCTGAGGGCAGAGATGGCAAACTATTGGTGCAGGAACTAGACGCACTAAAGGAAATGTAAGGTAAACTGCTTTGCAGTCCATGTCTGCACGTTGTATTATGACTACTTCAGATGGTCAATTCAGATTTCGTTTTACAAACTATTATTAACCGTGAATCGTTAATTATACGCTGAAGGCCTTACTTAGTATTCATTAAATTATATTGTCTCACTGTGCAAGAAACTGGCTTAATTATAATTGAATGTTATACGTTCCATTTTTAGATGAGATGGTAGACAGAGAGGAGATGACAAAGTTTTATTTAAACCGATTCCTGATTAGATGATTATCCTTGAAATGATTAGCATGGCGCTGTACAACTTAAACATCCGCAACATAGAGACAACATATAACCTGTCGTTCCACAAGCCTGTCACTGGGTGAGAAGTGTGGTCATACATCGAAGAGAGCGAAGTTGGCACTCCAGCGATTAGTATCACGTGGTAATGCAAGTGATGACAAAGTGGCTTTATGACTTTAAGCGAGTTTATGTAAAGCATTTGTAGTGCTTTTCATCCAGATTTTGCCAAAATTACTAAGTGGCTATAAACTTTCAAAACTTTCAATCCACAACCTATCTGGAGTGTTAATAAACAATGGAACTCTACAATTAATCAACGTTCAACCTACAACTTATCTGGAGTGGTTATAAATGATATTCAATCTACAACTTATCTGGAGTGGTTATAAATAGTATTCAATGCACAACTTATCTGGAGTGGTTATAAATAATATTCAATCTACAACAAATCTGGAGTGATTATAAACAACGTTCACTTTACAACTTTGGCTTTCCTCTCAATTCATTGAACATCTATTTAAAGGTGACTGTTGTAGTTACTTGTTCGTAAGCCATTATGTTCATCTATTCACAAATACGTTGTAGCTCATATTGTTGGTTTTTATTGTTTTCGGGAATCCAGGATTGTGATTTTAATGTATTTTAGATAAAGAATTTTTTATGCGTTTTGTAGTGTTGTATCTATAGTCTGAGATTGTACTCCAGGCTTTTATTGTGTGAATCTCTCATAAAACGTTACACGTCGCTATAACATACCGAGTTCATTGTCTTAATTGAATAATCAGAATTACTGAAAATTCCAATATCGCCATAGATTTCTCACTATTTTGTCTGAATTAATATACCACTGACCAAGTTCATTTACAGGTGTAAACTGACCTTGATATCTATGACAGAGGACCAAACTAATTGATAGAGTAACCTAAGGTTGACTAGGGTAACTTGATACATGGCCACGGTCTGAATGAACTTCTGCTTACCATGGTAATGGGACAGATAACTGCACTTTTGGTCAAAGTGACTGGCCAGGGTAACTGGATACATGGTCACGGTCTGAACAAATTTCTCCTGACCAGGGTAACTGGACAGATAACTGCACTTCTGGTCAAAGTGACTGGTCAGGGTAACTGGATACATGGTCACGGTCTGAATAAATTTCTCCTGACCAGGGTAACTTGACAGATAACTGCACTTCTGGTCAAAGTGACTGGTCAGGGTAACTGGATACATGGCCACGGTCTGAATAAATTTCTCCTGACCAGGGTAACTTGACAGATAACTGCACTTCTGGTCAAAGTGACTGGTCAGGGTAACTGGATACATGGCCACGGTCTGAATAAATTTCTCCTGACCAGGGTAACTTGACAGATAACTGCACTTCTGGTCAAAGTGACTGGTCAGGGTAACTGGATACATGGCCACGGTCTGAATAAATTTCTCCTGACCAGGGTAACTTGACAGATAACTGCACTTCTGGTCAAAGTGACTGGTCAGGGTAACTGGATACATGGCCACGGTCTGAATAAATTTCTCCTGACCAGGGTAACTTGACAGATAACTGCACTTCTGGTCAAAGTGACTGGTCAGGGTAACTGGATACATGGCCACGGTCTGAATAAATTTCTCCTGACCAGGGTAACTTGACAGATAACTGCACTTCTGGTCAAAGTGACTGGTCAGGGTAACTGGATACATGGTCACGGTCTGAATAAATTTCTCCGGACCAGGGTAACTGCACTTCTGATCTGAGTAACCCAAGACTGATCAGGGTAACTAGATACATGGTCAAGGTCCGAATAAAATTTTGCTTACCATGGTAACTGGACAGATGACCATACTAGTCACTGCTCAGAGTTATCTATCACTTAGCAGGATAACTGACAAAAAAGAGAGCAACAAATGAATAAATAGGATTCAAGTTTTAATTTGACACCTTTAGAAAATGTTTACAAACAGAAGTTGTAGGAAGTCAGGTCAATTATCTTAAGAGGATTCAGAAATGATAAAATTCTTCTTGAATATTTTTTATTAGTTTGACCTTGACAGTATTAATAATGGAGAACACATAGAGATTGGTAGTACGATGTATAAAGGTGAGATACGGAATGTTACACTAAAAATCTTAATCATTAAAACATACACATAATCAATTATATTGCACTGTTAATTGTTAAAATATAAATCACAAAAAAACCTGTGTTAATGGCACACATTAAACGAGCAGTAAAGACTGCAACACATCAATTTAGCAGTCAGGATTGGAAGAGATTAATCTAGCAGTCGTGACTTGAACACCCAATGTAACCCTGACCATATCCTTAAAGGTCACGACTGGAACACTCAATGTAGCGATCGTGACTGGAACACTCATTGTAAAAGTCGTGACTGGAACACTCAATGTAAAAGTTGTGACTAAAACACTCGATGTAAAAGTCGTGACTGGAACACTCAATGTTAAAGTCGTGACTGAAACACTTAATGTAATAGTCCTGACTGGAACACTCAATGTAAAAGTCGTGACTGGAATACTCAATGTAAAAGTCTTGACTGGAACACCCAATGTAAAAGTCGTGACTGGAACACCCAATGTAAAAGTCGTGACTGGAACACCCAATGTAAAAGTCTTTACTGGAACACCCAATGTAAAAGTCTTGACTGGAACACCCAATGTAAAAGTCGTGACTGGAACACTCAATGTTAAAGTCGTGACTGAAACACTCAATGTTAAAGTCGTGACTGGAACACTTAATGTAATAGTCGTGACTGAAACACTCAATGTAAAAGTCGTGACTGGAACACTCAATGTTAAAGTCGTGACTGAAACACTTAATGTAAAAGTCGTGACTGAAACCCTCAATGTAAAAGTCGTGACTGGAACACTCAATGTAAAAGTCGTGACTGGAACACTTGATGTAGCGCTCACAGCTAACATGTTATTTAGATTTTATGCCTAGAAAATAATAATTACGGAAGAGCTTAATCCAGCAGTCATGACAGGAACTGCTTAATGTTCTGTAGTCACGACTTTGAAATATATTTCTGAAGACTTTAATTTAGGAGTGCTGATTGGAACAGCTTAATAAACCAGTCAGGACTGAAACACATCAGTATAGCAACCACAGCTGGAATCAGAATGCGTAGTGTTCTTGGCAACATTTGGCAGTGAATAATCAAGTGAGTTTGCTGCATACAACAGCTTAACTATATTACATAATCAGATTACCTATTAGATATTGTCAAGGATCAAACTGTCAGCAATGATATATTCATATATCTTTAATTTCAGATCTAACATTTCTTTCAAGTATTTTTTTAATTTAGACATCACAACATTTTAGTTTATCATTTGCTGAAACTAACGCTGACCGGAAACCCCGGTGGTGATATAAGGTATACAATTTGATATCTTTCTACATCTAGTCAACACAAAGAAACAGTAACACTCACCAAAACCACACCCTGTGGTTAACTCAACAAAACAATGTCTTCAATAAACAGGCAAGTTGGAATTAGGATAATTTGCCAATAGAACACAATAATCACACCTTGATTAAATAAAATAACTACATAATTAATTGCACACGTATATAGAGTTTGTGTCACTAAGTCCCAGGATAAACAATTCTTAAACCAAAACACAAGTTTTTAATTTCATGTTGCAGAAATTCTTTCAGAGTGACTCGGAAATCCAAATACCCTAGTTGAACCTGCTTTCAAAGTCTAATAAATTTCATGGTCCTGGGGCCCAACAGAAGAGCTGAACATTAAATTTCACACACAGGGTCACAGTTTTATTAACTATTAGTCAGGATACAAATAATGGCAAACAATAAAAATATGACACTATTCTGTTGGAATGCTTCACAGTAAAGTAAACAAGCAGTGCTCTCCCCTTCCCAAGAGACGACAAAGCTGTTGGATTGTCTCCCCTTGGAGGTCACTGACAACTAGTGTACAGGGGTGCTTTCCCCTCCCCTACTATGGAATGGTCGACAAGACAACAGAGGCGGTTTTCCCTCCCCTACCATGGAATGGTCTAAATTAAGACAATTGAGGTGAATTATCTTCCCCTACCATGGAATGGTCTAAAATAAGACAATTATGGTGAATTATCTTCCCCTACCATGGAATGGTCTAAAATAAGATCATTAGGGTGAATTATCTTCCCCTACCATGGAATGGTCTAAAATAAGTCAACTTAGGTCGTTTCTCCTCCCCACACAATACACAATAGGAATGTTCAAACTAAATATACATTCTTTATAACATGTAAATAATTTAACAAAACTAAAATAATCATGGCATTTGTAGACTACATTTTGTATGTCACCATCAATAAATAAATAAATCCTTCATCTTTCCTGGGCATGCAATCTTGATATTCATTAGATAATGTCTCAATATGCAAAAGAAGAATAGATTGTGTTCATTGTCGTCTCACTTTGATAGAAACAGGACAAACCTACCATCAAACCTTGCTATTTTGTTTGAAGGTAAAGCCACACTGTTGTTGAATGTGGAAGTAATCTGTGAGTTAACACTACTATATATAATACAGTAATTCTGCTCTTCAATCTCCTGCCTATACATGTCATAATTACGTCTCTAAACAGTCAACACACACAACTAACATATCACTAAATAATTCTATAAATAATCAAACAAACGCACATTTATGTGTTAGGACTAGTGTGTACACATCTTGTAAATAATTAAAATACTGAACATACATAAAGTTGGATGGATGCAAGGGAGATAACTACAATACTAAATTAATCCACGTGTCTGTAAGAAGGATAACTCTGTTTAATTGTTTTAATTGTTACATAATTTTTGGTTTTCTAAAATAATTATTTAGAAAAAAATACATAGAAGAGCCAAAATAAATTAGAAAGTAGTCCAAGTTTTCAAACATTTAACCAAATTTTAATTAGCATCAGATAGGTATTAGATCAACAGAATTGTGTATCTTGGCACGTTATCAAACTATTAGATCAGGCACTGGACTAAATAATACTGCAGAGAGTCATTCATAAAAAGGTGAGACATTGGATTAAATAACAAAATTAACAACACATGGAGCTAGCTACAACACCAGCAAGTGCAATATACATGTTATATATGTTAATATAACTAGGTAAACAATACAGATCGGTACACATTATAGGACCACACAGTATCAACAATTGGCTAAAATTGCTGTTTTAAACAAATATGCACTAAACAGCAATTGTTTCTTGACCTGTTTCTCATGATCATCATACCAGTATAGTGCCCAGACATTTATGTATCACCAAAACAAGAGGTCACAGAAACTCACCAACCCATATTTTTATCGCCTGAACAAAGAGGTCAAAGAATCACACCAACCGACATTTTTATCACCTGAACAAAGAGGTCAAAGAATTTCACTGCCCAACCGATATATAGATGTCCCTTATTATCTCTAGAATTATTATTACATTAATGAAATGAAACACTTACACTGCTTTCTTACTTAAATAACCTATCATTCCTTCTCGCATTCTATCTGGTATGCATACAATGTAAAGGGTGTGTACACTTGTATATGTCATGTATGAATATACTATGTTACTATGTTACAATGTATATACACTAACGTATTAATGATATATATACACCAATGTATAAATGATTTAATACACTAAACGTATTAATGATATATATACACACACCACAATAAAGTGATATATACACCAATGTATGTATGTAGATATATATACACGCCACAGTGAAGAGATATATACACACATCACAATAAAGTGATATATACACCAATGTATTAATGATTTAATACACTAAACGTATTAATGATATATATACACTAACGCATTAATGATATATATACACACACCACAATAAAGTGATATATACACCAATGTATTATGATTTAATACACTAACGTATCAATGATATATATACACTAACGTATTGATGATATATATACACACACCACAATAAAGTGATATATACACAAATGTATTAATGATATATATACACTAACGTATTAATGATATATATACACACACCACAATTAAGTGATATATACACCAATGTATTAATGATTTAATACACTAACGTATCAATGATATATATATACACTAACGTACTAATGATCTATATACACACACCACAATAAAGTGATATATACACAAATGTATTAATGATATATATACTGCGTGTATATATAAATACAATGTATGTATGTAGATATATATACATGCCACAGTGAAGAGATATATACACTAACGTATTAATGATATACAGACCCGTACACGTTCGCTGTTCCACCTTGGACGCAAACGGTACGGAAGTGCTACGCAAACGGTACGGAAATGGTACGCAAGTGCTACGCAAACGGTACGGAAAGGCTACGCAAACGGTACGCTGAAAGTGGAACGGCGAACATGTACGGGTCTGTATATACACTATTGTATTAATGATATATATACAGATTTCATGTGTAACATGTGTCTGGTTCACAGATTTCATGTGTAACACATGCATCTGGTTCACAGATTTCATGTGTAACACATGCATCTGGTTCACAGATTTCATGTGTAACACGTGTCTGGTTCACAGATTTCATGTGTAACACGTGTCTGGTTCACAGATTTCATGTGTAACATGTGTCTGGTTCACAGATTCCATGTGTAACACGTATCTGGTTCACAGATTTCATGTGTAACACATGTCTGGTTCACAGATTCAAAGTGTAACACGAGTCTGGTTCACAGATTTTATGTGTTACAAATGTACTGTGCTGATCAAACTCATGACCTTGATGAGCTGCAATTTACTGAAGAATGACGGTGTGACATTGTAGAAGATGAGTATGTATAACATTGTACATAAGTGTATGTATAACTCCGCACATGATAAGTGTATATTTCACATTGTATTTGGGGATGAATATATTATGTATATAACCAAGTGTATTTACAATTTTCCTCTTACTGAAATAAGGAGAAGCTACCAAAAGGTGTATGACCTGAGGAACACTTCCCACAGTAGATTGCTCACCTTGTGGTTGGATTTCTATGTGACCTTATTAAATTGCACGATCAACTCTTTTAGAACAAGATCAAAAGCAAAGGTAGGGTACTGATCATAATAAAGTAATGAATATCAATGTTCTTTGTTTTCAAATCCATGACCAACTTGTGGCCATCTGGAGGGAAGTGACAGAGATCACAAATATACATCTGACCTGTCAGAGGTCACCAATATATCTGACCCATCAGAGGTCACTGATACATCTGACCTGTCAGAGGTCACCGATACATCTGACCCATCAGAGGTCACCGATACATCTTACCTGTCAGAGGTCACCGATACATCTGACCCATCAGAGGTCACTGATACATCTTACCTGTCAGAGGTCACCAATATATCTGACCCATCAGAGGTCACCGATACATCTGACCCATCAGAGGTCACCGATACATCTGACTGGTCAGAGGTCATCGATACATCTTACCTGTCAGAGGTCACCAATATATCTGACCCATCAGAGGTCACTGATACATCTGACCTTTCAGAGGTCACCAATACATCTGACTGGTCAGAGGTCATCGATACATCTTACCTGTCAGAGGTTACCAATATATCTGACCCATCAGAGGTCACTGATACATCTGACCTGTCAGAGGTCACCGAAACATCTGACCTGTCAGAGGTCACCGATACATCTGACCTCTGACAGGTCACCGATACATCTGACCTATCAGAGGTCACCGATACATCTGACCTGTCAGAGGCCAACAATACACCTGTCTTTACTGTCAAAGATCACTGATTTTTCTGGACTAGTTGATGGAAGTTATTCAGATACTGTATTTGCCGGCAGATTGTTAATGCTTTTGTACCAACCTACAAAGGCCATTGAAGCTTTCTATGGATTACTGAGTCTTTACTGGCTGACAAGGGTCATTGATGCTTTGAAACCATCCTACAGAGGTCGTTGATGTGTTAATATGGGTTGATGAGTCTGTGATGACCGACAGAGGTTGTTGATACATTTATACAGTAGTCTGAACTGGCCAACAGAAGTCGGTGATGTGATGATACCGGCAGTCTTTGATGTTTTGATTACATTCACACCCCATGTCCTCTTCCACATTCAAACAATCATACTGACAAGAAAGAAACTCTGTGACCTTGACCTTATCTGTCTGGAGGTCGCTCACACTGTGATGGTCGTAACCGTTCGCGACAAAACCGTTTATGGGTAGGCCAATCCTTCTGCTGACAGTAGATTCCACAGTACCTAAGAAATACAAACACAAAAACACTCTAGATTCTACAGTACCTATGAAACATGATCACAGAAATTTACTCTAGATTCTACAGTTCTTATGAAATATAAACACTGAAACATTATCTCAATACTGCAGTACAAAAGCTATGAAAACAAACAAATTTATGAATGAGCTGCAAGACTATTTTCATAGTATTTCTTTTATAATTGACATAAAAGTGGATCTATGGAGAGACATGACATTAGTGTCTTATCTAATTGGGTTTCTGTTGTCAGTGTTTCGTCAGCGTTATTATCATCACTGTGGGATTGTCCTCCAAATCAGTACAATTCATTCAATTTAAAGCTTTGCTATAGCCTATTGCCACTTCTATTAAAATGTGCAAGTGATGTTGATTTATAATTACAATACTTAAAACAGACATCATTACCGGATTACAGCAAAACTTTCTGATTTCTTTTCAAATCGTATTTTAACTTTGGAAATCGACAGGGAGAATTCAGACCCTGAAATCAAAATAATTCTCTGTGGAAAAAATAGTCCAACTTCTTTCCATTTTTCTAACAGTGAAATATTGGCAAAAAGTCTGTTAAACTTTGCCCTTACGTAACAGGGTAAAACAGGACTGTTACAATTTGACCTCTACCTGACCTTGCACGCCTACACACGTACTCTTACACCTATACATACCTAACCTCCTGGCACCGGCCACAGATGCTGAATTCACGGATCTGTTTCTCCATGTTAGTACAAGGTGGATAGTGGCATTCATAGTACATTGAGTTCTCGTCTGAGGCAAAGAAAGAAAAAAACATCAATACTACATCACAACAACAACAACATCAGAACCCCATTGTAGATTGAACACAACAGAATAATCTGTCACCCATATCTTATTGTGAACTTTAATGTATCTATAACAAATTGTTAATGTGATCCAACAGTACTTTAATCATTAATAATTTTACAATTTGGTTTTGCACACATTTACTCTGTTTTAATCAACTGAATTAATTATACCGTAACTGAATTGATTATACTGTAACTGAATTGATTATACCGTAACTGAATTGATTATACCGTAACTGAATTGATTATACCGTAACTAAATTGATTATACCGTGACTTTTGTCTACAATGTTAAACATTTTATTGACATTATCAGCACCACATGTCGTAGGAGTTACATATTTGAAGCAAGCACAGTTTTTGTAATCTGGGTAACAATTCTTAACATTTAATACAAACTTTGGTTAAGGAGGAGAAAATGTATAGTTTATATGTTTTGCACACTTTCCACTATATATTACAGATCTAGAAGATACAGCTTTTACCTGGCAGTCAGTGGTAGAACTGCGTGGATAAATTATGAACTGTTTCCAATTTGACATTGGCAGTGAGAAAAAATATAAATTAATATCATTGACCTACTTCATCTGACCTTGACCTACTTTATCTGACCTTGACCTACTTTACTTTATCTGACCCCACAGTATACTTACCCTCACTAACACTATCGCCATTACTGTTGTAAACTTTGTGGTAGAATGGCTCAGTCGGCTGAAAAAAGACAATATCAATGGGTACAGAAAGTTAAATAAGGATAAATTGTCTAGTCTACAATACCAGTACAAGGTGAACACAAATTTATAGTCTACCATATCAGTACAAGGTAGAAACAGATTACAACATCTCATCCCTGTCTCAACATACCTGATATGATTAATTCCATCACATAAAATCAAAATGAAAATATTTTTTTCCTTGTAGAGTTGCAAAGATTTGTAACACTACAGCCGAAGTTTGTTGAATATATCTGGTTGAAGTACTCACTTGATACTAACAAACTCAGAGTATGCGGTCGGTACACACTCAGGAGTACTCACTTGATACTAACAAACTCAGGAGTACGCGGTCGATACACACTCAGGAGTACTCACTTGATACTAACAAACTCAGGAGTACGCGGTC